TATATTGAAACTTTTCCTTCCAGATCCTGCCAAGTTTGGTAGACTGCCTTGTGTCTGATAAACAATGCTTTGCTGTGTGGTGTCAGATGTACACAAAACACCTTCCACAGTCTAGGTAAGAGGATTTAAAGGGATAAAAGGTAACCTTGTGAAAATCAAGCAATAATATGAACAGATAATATTAAGTATCAGTTTATATGTACCTTTAAAAAAATAATGGCTCTCTTTATAATAAAAAAAAAATCAACATTTTAGAATTGTAATATAATTTTTCTTTAATTTAAGAAACTGTAAAATCACATATTTTCTAGGGGTCCAATTCTCTTGGTTTTAGGAATATATATTGATTCATTGGGATTTGATTTCATAGTTTAAGATTTGTTCAGCAGTAGTGTATGTGAAAAACTGCATTTTGTATTGAACTTGGGTCTCTTCATACCTTGAAAACCATGAAAATTAAGCCTACCTAAAAATCTGTGCTTTCACAGTATTTTAAGAAGAAAAAAAGTGGTTAATAAATTCAGAACAGTTTTAGAGCACAATGCTTTCTACATATTTTTAAATACCTGTTGAATACTGGTATTGAGAATACCTGTTGTGTTCTTTAGTGTCCTGTTGAATTACCTGGCACAGAACTGGGATAAGGCTGGCTCTAAAATGGACAAGAAGCTGTTCCAGAACACCCTGAGGTCCTTCTCTATCACAAATGAGGAACTGGCGACCCAGGGCAGAAACAGCAGTGAGGGGTATCAGGAGTGTGTCTCTGTGTGTAAGGTACAGACAAGTGGAGAATATATAATGTAGAAGTTTCTGTATAAATTGATGTCCGAATTTCACAGAATGATTACATTTTACAGATCATCTTACTTCAAAATTTTGATACCTTATATTATGAATATGAAATGGTTTCATTAGTTCTAAAAATGCACTGAAAAATAAATCAAATTGATATTTTGTGAAAGAATCTCTTCTCGAAAAATAAATGCAATGAATCTTTATTTTGTGTAGGAATTGCTTCAGAAGATGGAGCAGACACACTTCCCATGGTTCTGGGTTGTTTTCCTGTTGATTGGCACACTGTCTGCAATAGTGGCTTATGACATTTACTCTAGCAAGACTTTAAGAGGTATGTGACCTATTCCTGCTAAATAAATGCATGTAACTTTTGATCTTCCACATTTTTATTTTTATGAACATACTTGATTCAATAAGATGAATATGTGGATTAATTTTAGCTTCTAGAACTGTGAGGTTCCTAGAGGATTATGGGATATTAGCTTTCACAGAACAAGTGTGGAGCAAGCTGTCTCATTACACAATGATGACATTTAGGTAATTTGATTCTCATATCAAATTTTTATGCAGGAATATTTATTTTTTGGCTTATTTTTTCCTAGATACCATTATTAATTGTAAGTCAGAAATTAAAGTTCTGCTACATTATTGGTTCTTGCAGCTGGCTGAAAGTGAATGTTCCTTTGTTTGCTGAGAAAGCTGTCAACACCATCTCACCCTATGTTGCTGTTGGGTGGTCAAAGGTCAAATTTGGGGCTTTCTATGTTTGGGAAGTTAGCACCCCTCAACGGGATTGGCTGTACATCAAACTACTTCAATTAACTGAACAGGTAAATACTAACAAAAAATGGAACAAGGCTTCATGATAACTTTTACATTTTGAGATCCGGCATTTTCTTGTATACGACAGTTTAAAATAACTCACAAACCAGTGATTAAAATTGATTTTCTTTGATCAACTTGCTGTGTTTGCTTTTAGTAATGCTGCAGATTGTGATTAGAGATAAAACATGAATGAGGTTGATATTTGATTTGTTACAGGTTTACTCCTTGTCACCTCAGCTCTGGTCAGATCTCAGTCATCACCTCTCATCATCCTGGGATTTTTTACGGGATAAAACATATCTTTTATGGACCAGTGCGGTCCAACTCTTTTTCACATCTTATAAATGGGTTGAAAAAGAGGTTTTATTGTAAGTATGACATTGACTTTCTGATTATGAGTACAGTCAAGCCTTGTTAGTTGGGACACTTGTGTTCCCAAGCAAATTGTCCAAATAAATGAAATATCTTGATTACTACAAGTACTGCAGACTTTATGAACATACTGTATAGGGGAAAAATAACTCGCGGTGTTAATATTTGCTATATTCACGGTGTTAATGAATCCGTGAATTCAAGAAACAGTGAATAAGTTTTCAATAGGTATAGATAAGGGAGGAAACTTTTAAAATATACCAAATCCGCGAATTCAAGAAACCGTGATTGTGTCAAAGAAGAGAAAAACGTGAAAATTACAACCCGTGAAATTAATCCCCTGTACAGTAAATGGTTTTCCACAATTTTTGTGAAGCCACCTGATTAAGTAGACTGCACTTTTAAGGGCAACGTCAGTCTGATTATAACCAGCCCCCTTCTTTCACACTTCACTGACGAGTGAAAGGAGAAGTTAGCTGGTTTCAATCAGACTGGAGGAATATAGTAGTCACTAAGGGTTAAATAGTAATCACTTGGTCATTATGCCCATACATTTCTTTACAACAGTAGAAATTTTGAGTCAGGTGTGCCTTATTCAGAAGTACTTATATGGTGCAGTTTATTTAATAGGTTGTTTTGTTTTTGTTGTCATTTTGGACTGCAAATGCATGAATTTTGGACATTTATTTTTTTAATTTAATTTTTCAGAGGTCAGTATACCCCAGCAGTTTTGCAGCAAGTCTTTCGGACTATAATTTCCTTTGTTCAGGATTCAGCAGTTTTTGTTACACAGTGGTGTTCTAATACATTCTTAGTCTCACAAGGGAAATAACTTGTCTCTGGAAATTGCCTCTGGAATCTCAGGATGTAAAGACAAAACAGTGCAACGTTAACATCCATAAGCGAAAGTGAATTTTATATGAAACAGAGATTTTTATAGTACAAGTATCTACTTAGGCAGGAGCTTTATACAGTTGAAAACTTTGAATTTGGTTGTAATTCATAACCCACCTCTAAGTTATTATATGTACAAGTCTCCTTAAATCATGTCGAAATGCAAAAAAATGTCTCACACTTTGTTGTTAAAATATTTTATATGACAGTATCCTGTTAAAAAAGTTGATGTTATTCATAGCCAAATATATTATATAATCTGCCAAAGAAATTTAAAATGATTAATATAAGAATAAAATTGTTCTTTTACATATAGATTTATTTTTGATTTTTATTATGCCTCCTTCAAAGTAGAGAGGGCATATTGCTTTGCTGCTGTCAGCCTGTCCACAATCGGTTTCTGTTCATTTTCTTGGCAGAAGTTGAAATAAAATTTGGTCTACAGATTTATCATAAGAATATCTAGGTCAAGTAGTGTTTTGGGTCCAATCGAGCCATTTCTGACAGAGTTATGCACCTTAGACATAGGAAATTCCAATTATTTCCACTTTCCATTCAATTTCTTTGCAGATATTGTACCTATTGAAAAGAAATTCCATATACAGATTTCTCATAAAATATCTAGGCCAACGCTTTTTTTTGGTATGATCAAGCCATTTTTTGACAGAGTTAAATCCCTTTGACCTAAAAAAAAAATTCCAATTATTTGGGGGAGGGGGCATAAGTGTTTTTCAAACATCTCGTTTTATTTGTGAATGCACAGAAACTAGATCTTTTCAAACTGATGTACACTTCAACTTTTGTTCTTGTTCAAATTTGTATGTATATCTAGAGACAGTATTGACACACTAGTGTGGCCCTTTGACAGTTAATGATATAACTGGAGATCTGATGTTTTCTAAGAGTAATATCCCTGGGTAGTCTACATACATGGAAAAAATTAATCCCCCATCAACAGGTTGAGACCGCTACCTTATATGGAAGGCAATTTTTAACACGTGATGATGTCTTGATCACACCCAATCAAGTGAATGAGTCCCAAAGCATGATAGTCGACAGCATGTTACAATTCAATGGTGACATGGTTTTTCGTCCATTTACTGTACAATATTTAACTAGTCACTGGAAAACTTTAGAACTTCTTTATCAATTTATAAGATTGAAATTGAAAATTAGACTTGCCCCATGCTCACATTTAATATTGGGAGTTGTTTTAGATGATTAATAGCTGCTTTCAATACTGTACAAAGGCTTTGACATTTGCATGTACATAAAACACTTTCTAATAATATTGAGGGGTTATAATAAATAACTGCACACCTCCTGCTGTCTAAAACCAAGGACCTATATACTACCTGCTATAACAATGTACACATACATCATGTGAAAAAAATTCAATGTTTTATCGACACAATAGTACCTACATCTCTTTGAACAATGGTTTAGGCCGATGTATTATAAGTTGACATAAATGTCATAATATGTGAGCATAGAAATGAAAGAATATACATCATTTTAAATATTTCTTTCACAAATCTAAAAAAGGAATTGTAAATAAGTTTCCAAGGGACAATTGAAGTTGCCCTTTATTATCAACACATCTGGGTACTTGTAGTAGCCCACAATGCATTGCGGCTCATTCAGCAGTAGGTAAAGTAAACAGATACCGGTAGCTAATTTACATGCAAATTTATGCTGATGTCAGAAAATCTAGTGGTCTCAACCTGTTTAAAGTTTCTTGTCAAAAATACACAAAGATGATGGAGCAAACCTTGCATTTCTTGAATGTAGTGCTTATCTTTACTCATAAGTACAATATAGCAGAGTTAAAGGGTCTTTGTTGAAAATTCTAGGCACACTCCTTCGAACTCAGTTGAGATATAGTGTTGGATTTTAAATCAGGTTATAGGTTGAAGTGACATCGTAGAAACCCCTAGATAACCAGTCACACATATAATGAATATCAAAAATTACCTTAACTACTGCACTATTCAGCAGACAATCTGTGCTCTATGGTAATAAGTAAGAAACCCTGAATAAAACTTCTGAAATTCTTCTCCTGTCTTGGCCTCATCACAGGCCTGTAAAATGAAAACAATCCTCGCAAACACATATAAAAGTCTCTTTTAATATTTACATGTACATCAATCTGACAATTAAATTTAAATTTCATATTCAGGGGAACTGAGTGTAGAATGTTGTACACTTGGTGAATTTTCCGAGCTGTTGTTTTGGGACCCCTCTCGGATCCGCTCCAATGGATCCTTGTCCGGTCTGTCATGTTTGTGCTTGTGCTTATGCTTGTGTTTGTTTTTCTTCTTTTTCTTTTTGGCTTTATGTGCCTTAGAGTCTGTAGCAGATGACAGATCTGTAGCAGACGCTGATGATGGTAACAATCCAGCGAATGATAGGGGAGCACCAGATTCTATCAAAATCCAGAATACTTTTATTTAGTCATTTCCAACAACCAGAATTTCATTGTAGAAGGAATTCATGTTACAAGTATTAATAACAGCAAGGTAAAACTTGGTTTATAAGAAATTTTATGAAAGAATTTTCTCCTTTAATGAATGTTAATTTTCCTGCAATTAACTAAACAAATCCAGAAAAGTATACATTGAATTAGAATTTCACAGTTAAAACCTATTCCAACCTATTATTTGTTTAAAGGAAAGTGTATTCTGAATTGAAAATCGTTAATTTTTGAAGTTTCATAATTGGTTTTGAGATTCTCATCAAATGCTGTATTGTAACATAGCTTGAAGAAAGAATGTCCTAGAAATTAAAGATTATTTAATAAAAGAATGTAGTTATTGCAATTTTCGCTAAGTGTTCATATGGACTTGGTATAACAGTTCTGTTCATAAAAGATTATAAACTCTGACAAAGAAGAACCCCCCCCGACTGGTGTTACCTGAGGGCCTGGGGGTGTTGGTAGGAGATGAGGACCCCTCACTCAGTCGAGACGACGTATCCATGGTGATGGACATCTGAGATTCTGGAGCCGGCGGCTCTTGTTTGACCTTAAAAGTGAAATCAAGGGAATTTTTTTTACATGCCATACATCACTATTTTAAGAAAATCAAAAAAATCCAAACAAAGTAAAATAAAATACCCATTAAAGAAATCAAAGAGATGATTAAAGATTAAAACATGGAAAATATCCTTAAAAGGACAAAAAAAAATATTTTCAACAGAAAATATTCAATAATAATACAAACCCATTTTTTAAAAACATTACACCAATAGAGAACCTATAGTTAGTAAAGGGAGATATTTGTATAACAGGAAAGAAGTAAATTTGTGATGTATCAGACCAGGATTCAAACCTCAGCCCCCCGATTCACTAGTAAGATGTTAAACCAGCTACCGGTAAGTTACCAGGCCACCAATCTGTAGAAATTTACTCTTAATAAGGGACTTGGAATTTTATATTTTCCTGATGATGAAGTTCCCTTAATAAATGGTATTTTATCATGGATTTCAATTGTTATCTTAAAATTTAAACAGCTCTCCCTTGGAAAGGTTACATTTTTTGGGGGGGGGGAAGGAGGAGTCCAATCAATTACAATGTCCACAGGTAGATGAGAAACGTAATCCAAAAAAAATTTCAGCCATGCGGAAATATTAAATAACTAATGACATAGCAATAGGTAGAATTCAAGCACAAAAAACATATCCTCCGAAAACTTGTAATAAAACTGAAGGCAGATGTATTTTGTATTACATGTATTACAAAATTCTTGTATATAAAATGACATCATAATACAGTGTAACATTGCCAGATTCAGGTTTAGAAGCTGTAAAATCAAAAGTACCCCAACAAATTTGAGGAATTCAGCCGCATAAGCAGAAGTAGCTGATGACGGAGTGATCGGTGTTTTTGGCACCGTGACTTCCTGAGTCCCGGGGGCCACTGAGGGGAGCTCAGACACCTGGGAGGTCTCCACAGGAGGTTCTGAGGGCATCTGTTCAATAAAATGCAGAAAAACAAAATATCTGTGCAGAAAATATTAGAGGTGCAATGTACATTCAATTCTTTTTTTCAATGTTCTTCCTAGCAATTTATCAAATTATAAATCAATATACATGTACTATATAAATTAGACAGTCTTCCATACTTTTCATGTATAACAGTTTTACTTTCTAAAGTATTGAATTATAAGCTAGAGCATCATGCTATATATAATGTCGTAATTAAACTTAATTGTTCCTTATTCTTTTAGATATTAAGATAATTTTATAGATTTCTTTCTTTTTGTAAACCAAAGTTTACAAAATCACAAGCATATATTTCTTCTCAATATATTTCTTTTAATTTATGACTAAAGATTGCACTAGTTTTTATTCATTCTTTTTGTAGTGTATTAAGTGCAGTTAGTTAAACATATCAAGATGTGTATCTTCATGAGTTCTAACCATAGAAATAATAGTGTATTATCAATGTAGACAGAGAGTACTGAGTAATTGAGAAAATGCACATTTAGTTTTGATATTGAGAATTAAGACATAACTTTACTGTGAAATCACTTATTTTCATGGGGGTTTAATTAATATTCATGATTTTGAATGAAAAGATGCCCACAAAAATATCATGTATACCAGTACATGTTTATATACTTAAATTCTTCATCCAGAAAATCACCAACCAACACCCCCCCTCCATTTAACCAAAAGTTCTTTTTCAAACCACGAAAGCTAAATCCCTTCAAAATATGTGATTTTACAATAACTTTAAACATTAATTATAATTTATGTTAATGACTATTACATTAGTTCAGTGTCAACAAAAGAAAAACAGAGTTAGTCAGTTACAAAGTCAAAGTCTTCATGAACAAACACACTTTTGCATGTTCTGAACTTATAAACCAGAACAAAAATGCAATAAATTTAAATACAAAGTTGTACCTTGAGTTTAAGCTTTTTGGACTGTGAAGTGCTGTCCTCGTTAAATATTCCTTCTGGACAGGTCTCGGGGACACTTCCAAGGGACATAACTACTGATGGGTCAGAGCAGGGGGGTGACTTCCTCTTGAGGGAGGAGTCCTCACCCCCAATGTTGGTGACGTCAATGTCTGTCTCTGTGTCCATCTGAGAATTATCATCCTCCGCTAGCTCCTCATCTTCATCATCAAACATCTCCTGACAGACAAACAGACAATGTCATCAAACATCTCCTGACAGACAAACAGACAATGTCACAAACATCTCAAGACAGTCAAACAGACAATGTCATCAACATCTCCTGACAGACAAACAATGTCATCAAACATCTGACAGTCAAACAGAAAATGTCATCAACATCTACTGACAGACAAACAATGTCATCAAACATCTCCTGACAGTCAAACAGACAATGTCATCAAATATCTGACAGACGAACAGACAATGTCATCAACATCTACTGACAGACAAATAGACAATGTCATCAACATCTACTGACAGATAAACAATGTCATCAAACATCTGACAGTCAAACAGAAAATGTCATCAACATCTACTGACAGTCAAACAGACAATGTCATCAAACATCTCCTGACAGTCAAACAGACAATGTCATCAAACATCTCCTGACAGTCAAACAGACAATGTCATCAACATCTACTGACAGTCAAATAGACAATGTCATCAACATCTCCTGACAGACAAACAGACAATGTCATCAAAATATCTGAAAGTCAAATAAACAATGTCGTCAAACATCTGACAGACGAACAGACAATGTCATCAACATCCACTGACAGACAAATAGACAATGTCATCAACATCTACTGATAGAAAAACAGACAATGTCATCAACATCCACTGACAGACAAATAGACAATGTCATCAACATCTACTGATAGAAAAACAGACAATGTCATCAACATCTACTGACAGACAAATAGACAATGTCATCAACATCTACTGATAGAAAAACAGACAATGTCATCAACATCTACTGACAGACAAATAGACAATGTCATCAAACATCTACTGACAGACAAACAATGTCATCAACATCTACTGACAGACAAATAGACAATGTCATCAACATCTACTGACAGACAAATAGACAATGTCATCAACATCTACTGACAGACAAATAGACAATGTCATCAACATCTACTGACAGACAAATAGACAATGTCATCAACATCTACTGACAGATAAACAATGTCATCAACATCTACTGACAGACAAATAGACAATGTCATCAACATCTACTGACAGACAAATAGACAATGTCATCAACATCTACTGACAGACAAATAGACAATGTCATCAACATCTACTGACAGACAAATAGACAATGTCATCAACATCTACTGACAGATAAACAATGTCATCAACATCTGACAGACAAACAGACAATGTCATCAAAATATCTGACAGACAAACAGACAATGTCATCAAAATATCTGACAGACAAACAGACAATGTCATCAAACATCTGACAGACAAACAGACAATGTCATCAACATCTCCTGAGAGTCAAACAGACAATGTCATCAACATCTACTGACAGTCAAATAGACAATGTCATCAACATCTACTGACAGACAAACAGACAATGTCATCAACATCTACTGACAGACAAACAGACAATGTCATCAACATCTACTGACAGACAAATAGACAATGTCATCAACATCTACTGACAGATAAACAATGTCATCAACATCTATTGACAGACAAACAATGTCATCAAACATCTCATTAGAACCAACAGCTTCTTATTCATCAAATATTACAATGTAATATACTCCACATACCTGGTCCAGGTGCACCATTGATGAGAAGATTAGAGATTAACATCCAGTGACTACTTACCTCCATTTCATCAGGAACAAATGCTGGATTCATTCTATTTCTCTTGTCCTTCAGATTTAGCACAACCATGTTCTTAAAATATAAAATTAAAATGCATGAACAGGTTGAAAAATAAATAAATCACTAAAAATGATGTTATAATCAAATCATGAAAAATGGCCCTGTTCTATTTTGGGAAAAATTCCAAGGCAGTATTTCAATGCTCTATACCATTCTTTTTTTTTTTAAATCGTGTTCCTGAATTTTTCCACATGAAAAAAAAATTATGCACATTAAAGTTCTCAATAAAAAAACCAGATATTAATGAGACAACTGTCGTCTGAGTGTTGTTCAGCAACTCTTCCTGACCTCATTTTAACAGAATTTCTTTTAGTTGTTTCACTCATATATAAAACACTACAGCTCAAACAAAGTCACACTCAGCCTGATAGGTAAATTGGAGAATGAATTTTAAAACAGTTTGATGCTCTTTCTGGTACAAAAGGAAATTTTTAAATGCCTCCATCCCTTTTTCTCTTCACCAAGAGTCATTTCTCTCTTTGAAAGTAGTATGCCAATACTCTTCAACAAACTTGAATCCTTATTACCCAAGGCTGCTATGAGGAAAATTTGGTTAAGATGGGCCAATTGTATCTTGAAGAATTGTTAAAGGACAAAGTGATGCTTAAGAGAGGCTTATATGGTCCTCAAACTGATTCCGATGCCCTTTTTTTTTGCAAAGATACACATTACGTAAAGGCATTGAAAATTGGGGTTTACGTGTTTTTGTTGGTTTACCCCCCCTTTGAAATAAACCCACTTTCAGTTTGCCACAGGGATCACATCTTAACCTAATCGTTATCAGCTGTAATCGATTACTGTTTGCAACTAATCATGAAAATCAGTAATCATCCATTTTTCTGATTAATAATCGAATTTAATCAATTACTCTGAAAAAAGTCCTGTAATCATGATTACTTTTTGATTACTTTATGATTACAATTTTTAAAACAAAGTTCATAAAATCATGATTTTTGATGATTTACAATAAATATTTTTCAGTGTACAAAATTGTTTATTAAAAAAAGTTATTAAGTTATATTTCTAAAACATGTTTTAATAAGTATCTTCTTCTAATGCCTCCAGAAATGTTTATCATCAGATCCATTGTCTAGGCAATGAGTAAATTCTATCAGTTCCTTGCTATATTCAGTAGTCAGTTCAAAATACTTTAACAGCTTAGCCGACGAGATATATGTATTATACTGATAGAAAATTACTACAGGATCATTTTAAAGTTTGATTTATTTCAATTAATGTTTTCCCTGTAAATGTTTGAAAAAAATTTTTTTTATAGCAAATGTTCCTTTATTGAGACGTATTCTAAAATTCACTTTGTTTGATTTACAGTGTACATAAAAAGATAATGTGAATTAATTAGTCATTAGACACAAATATACTAAAGATGGGTCAGCTTGGGTTATAGTAATTATTGAACTATCCATGCTTGTCCAGTCAATGTGTTAATTCTAGTAAAAACATCTAACAGATAATAATTGGCAGTTTAATTGAAAAGTCCATCACTCATCAAGAATGTCAATTACTTGTGTAACAGTTCCCTATCGAATCCCTTTATCCCTGCCTATCATTATGTCCAGTTTCATTTATTTAAAAAAATTATAATAAATTCTTTTTTTCTAATTCTCTCAATAGAAACAAGATATTTACTTGTATTAAAGATAGAAATCAGGTGATATAAGATAAATATATGCAACCAAAATTTGTCTGAAATCTACCTTAAAAATATTAATTATATTTAAAATAGAAAGAATAAAAACATGATGTTGTCCTTGAATATTAAACAAAAAATTAAAACTTAATGTAATCTAAAGTAATCATAAGTAATCATGATTACATGAAGGAAAAGTAATCAGATGTAATTGATTACTTTTAAAAATGTCTGTAATCAGCCTGTAATCGATTACTTTTAAAATCCAAAGTAATTGTAATTTAATCGATTACTTTTGAAAGTAATCGACCCCATCCCTGCTTCCGACGCCTATGACAACATTTAATATACATCGATCCAAATAGCTTGTTAAAAACCTGTGGAAAAGTTTTTTCAAAAGGGTGGGGGGGGGGGGGGGGGTACGGCTGCAAATAATCCACGTGACTACGGATTCATCCAGCTGTGCGGCATGTCCAATACATATTCAGTACGAATCCCCAAAAAGTTATATAGGTTTCATTACCAAACTGACGATAATTTTATTTTTTAGAAAAACAAACCTACACTGTGTATGAGTGAAAATTTTTCATTTATTTATTTTGTGCTTTTATCTTATTGTCACTCAAAGTACACATCATTTGCAGGCAAGTGAGTTACTGTATCAGTTTGAAGGGGGAGGGGGGGGGCACAGCCATCCTTTTTCTGGCCATGCATTGTACAACTTGTTAACGATGGAGTAACCTGCGTAACCTTTCAGAGTTACCAGTGGACTCGTCCAAGGATGCTTTGTCGGCGACTGAAAGTTACCTGAGATTCCTACGCAAAGGAAAGCGCGAAATCTCTATAAACTGTTGCGGCTGCGGAGCTTCACTCATTGTTCATTCGCCATAGAAAAGAATCCGACATTAAACACCTAATAACTATGAGTATACAGACGTTTTCAAGATAAGCTTCATTTTTGTTTTTAGAAATATTTTTATCTACCAAAATAATATATTTTCGTGTTTTGAAACTGAGTAAATCGATGACCTAGCATCGTTTTATGCCCCTCTAGTTATTTTTATACTTACTTCATCATCTTCCACAGTCTCTCCACTAATCCCTCTGTGTGAAGGGCACTAGCTTCTAATCTTCTGAAGGGTGGATTTAGCACTAGTTGTTGAAGTGCATAATGCCTATAAAAATTTCAAAAAAAAAATGTTATTCTACTGGCAAAACATTTCAATCCCACCCCTCCGAACTCCCAAAATACTAGATATGAGCTAAACTTTAATATAATATAATTCTTTTTACCTGATGTATAGGTCGGGATCTGTCTCCACTAAACTCAAAATCCAGTACATGTCCTCTGGTCTAGACTCCGCTGAAAACAAATGTATTATAAATTTATAGTACATTGTATGTTCAATGTCTGTAAAACAATTGCAACATACAGTGCAATCATAAATTCACTTTGCATTTATATTTTTTTTTCTACACTTCAAAACCCAGTATTCTATAATTAAAGATTTGTGTTCTTTGGAAATAAGGACATTGAAAAATGAATTCTTTAGTCTCTTCTTTCCAAAATTTGTTAAAAGCTTATTTTAATTGCCTTTTCTTATTAGAGTAATACGTAATAATTATAACATGCTATATCTGAGCATTCACATTAATTCTACATGAATCACTGGTACTTACTTTTGATGAAGTCTACTATAGCATCAATAGCGGCCAGTCTTATGTCCCTAAACACTCCATGTCTGGCGTAACTCTTAAAGAATTCCACCTCACTGGGCAGGTGGCCAAACTTCTGTAGAGTTCTGATGGCACTCAGACAACTGTCAAACAATTTTTAGAAATAATCTACTACATACATGTATACTTAAATTACCACACTGGGGATATGGCATATATTTTTTGTATATTTTAACTAGTGATTTTACAAAAGATTTACTAATAACACTTTCTGATAGTAAAGCATGTAAATATTTGTACATTGTACATGTATTAAACATAAATGTACCTAACAGTAACTGTGTGTCTGTAACATGGCAGTAGTTTCTCTAGGTTCAAGTAACGGGTAATAATAATGATCTACTAAGTTTGAACTATTTATTTTAGGAGTTATAACATGTATTTTGTGTCACTTAACTGGACTTTACATGAGATATGCTTATACCATTTTCAGACAGTAATGCATGTAAATAATTGTTACATACCTAACAGTAACTGTGTGCCTGTAACATGGCAGTAATTTCTCTAGATTCAAGTAACGAGTAATTTCCTCCAGAATCTGTTTGGTTTCCATTGATAAATTGTCAGCTGTAGGACCCTGCCTATCATAGGAAAAAGATTGACATGGTAAAACTCATTAGAAAACTCTACATGTAGGTTATAAATATAGAATTTTATTAAAATATTGCTTCATAACAACTTTTTACACATCTTTCCAAAGATATGATTATTATGAGCATCTATGTGCTAATAAACTAAAATCATTAATAAAACATTGCATATAGCCTGAATAAATCAGGCAATTTTTTGGGGGGCCATTGTTCATAGATTTTTTTTATTTTTTTCTAAAACTTGACTCTTTTGTATAGGGAGGTAATATCAATATCTACCCTGGTGTAGTCATAAGAGTGATGGCTGGAGTCACAGTTTTAGCTACAGCTTCCACCAGTGCAGCTCTGTAGTAGTTGTCAGAGAACTGGAAATGGACAATTGAATGTGATTTTAAATATTACCTGGTATTTAAGGTATTTAAAATTTTTTTTAAACCACGTAATATTTTTCTGTGTTGCAATTTAATGTAAAATTTTAAAAATTAATTTGTCTAATTTTTTGTCTTAACCATGGCAGCAGTTATGCATTAATACCTTGTTTCTGCTATTGTCATTATACTTGAACAGTTCCATGATGAATTTGAACACTTCTGGGGGACATATTGTGTGAATGTTACGCAGCATGGCCATGGCATTTGGAATAGTCTGACCAAAAAAAAAAAAATTAAACTGCTTTAGGTAATGTAAGGGAAAATACTGTACACAGGGTTATTTTCGCCCCTTTTATTTTCGCCCTTTTGCACTTGCAAACAATTTTGCCCCGTTTTAAATTTGCCCAGTCATACTTTTGTTAAAGAAATTATGCTTTGTAAATGTCATTAAATTCTTGGAAGAGGGCTAAAGGGGCAAAAATAAAATGGGGGCGAAAATTTCCCTGTATACAGTATCTTCTGAAAATACAGTAAAACTTGTTTGGTACAAACATGGATATTGTGAATTCATGGATATAGCCAAGTTATATTGGATCCCCAGCTTTATAAATTTGAAGAATTCCTTATACAGATATAACAAATTACGGATATAGCGAAGTAATTTCATTGGTGCCAGTGATTTCATTATAATAGAGTTTTACTGTATACTAGTCCTTTACAATGCACTGTGTAAAATATATTGCAAAGATAAAGAATGGTAATCAGGTGCCATGGAGGAGTAAGCATCCCCTTTGGACTAGCCACACCCACCAAAACGTCTTTGTATTGAATGGAAACTGGAAAGAAATGAAACTTTAAAGAAAACCTTGAGTAAGAAGTAATGCTGGAGATTGGAGAAGTTGTTCTGTCTGATGATGGCAGGACAAGAATGAGATCCAAACATTTTCCTGAAGATCGTCATCATTGCTGGGGGTCCCGCCCACACACCCACCATTGAATTGGCAACCTGCAGCATCAGATATTAAAATACTTTATATGACAAAAGTAGTAGTTTTAGAACAGATACATACCAGGTATATAGAAATGGTGATATTTAATAAAATGTTACGTTAAATTTAGGAGTAACTCAAATTTCCATGAACTTTTCTGAAAAAATTTAGAGACAAAAATAATTCCACAAGATACGCGGTCACTCATTGGTCACCTTGGCCAGACAGTAAGCAGCCTCCATCCTGATTCTGTAGAAGCAGTGGTCATCCTCCAGTATGTCTGTCAGTGCTCTTCTGGTACCTGCTGTGGGGTAATTCTCCAGAGCTCTGATGGCCTGTCAATATTTGTGATAATGTAGCATCCAGATATATATTGGTATTTACCATACCATCAGATATTAAGTTTACTAATATGATTGCGCCCATGAGAAAAGGGTCCTTATGGCATTTTCACTAAAACCGAGAAATAAAGTTATAAAGACGTGATGTTGCAGATCGACGGCAAGCGTCAACACAGATTTTTTTTTTTACCACGTGTTTATGTTTTTGACACTAATTCTGATCTGAATATTGATACATTCGCATAATTATTATATCTATAGTTTCTTTAAAGCATAAATGTTCCATCCTATTCGTATTTATCATCATTACCTCTCTTTGAGCGACAATGTCCCTTTCGTATCTGAGCTGATACTGCCACATGTAATCTGGCTGTTCCCAAGTCACATGACTAAGTAGGCTCATGTCTGGATCGACCCGCAGCCATAAAACTGGAGAGTCAGCACTGTGATAAATAAAGCCAATATAAAAGGGATCAAATTCTAACCCTTTCTTCACATTTAAATGAATCGTTATTTACTGTGAAATCAATATTTTTTGTTGTTTTCAAGGTTTTCAAGGTACAGTGTATGAAGAGACCCACAAATTTATGCCCACCAAGAAATGTAAATTTTCATATGCACTACTACTAAAAAGTTCTTCATCCACAAAATTAAATCCCCATGAACCAATATTTTTTTCTCAAACCACAAAAATTTGACCCCACAAAAATATGTGATTTTATAGCAAGTTATCAGTATTTTTACCTGAATTTAAAAAAAAAACAAACAGAATTTTTAAATGGTAAAGAAACTCACTCCATGGCACTTAGATCCATATCCACCTCCTCTCCGGTCATTAGTGGAATCTTTTTCTTCTTGTTCCTAGGTAAATCAGTATTTATACATTTATCTTTAATTCTGCAGTAACCTTGAAAAGGTCCTTATATGGGCATCTACATGTACATCTGTATATTTCCAACAAAAATTTGTGGTAATAGAGGAAAAAGTGGGGCTTTTAAACAAACATATTTTATGGGCATCTACATGTACATCTGTATATTTCCAACAAAAATTTGTGGTAATAGAGGAAAAAGTGGGGCTTTTAAACAAACATATTTTGCTGTCTTTTTTTAATTTGCTTACTCTGTTATCTTGTTACAATTTCAATATCTTATAAACCAAATTCAAAACAATGGGAAAAATATCAAACAAACTGAAAACAAAACAAAGTACAATACTGTAAATTCCTTATTTTTTGTGAGTGCTTTTCTCCGCGAACTGGCTCTTTAAAGTCAAAACGCGGGAATTATAATTCGCGAATGGACGGTTGATCAACAGAATTTACAAAGATTTCAGCACCATAAAAATAAAAACGAGTAATATTTTTTCACGAGTGATGCATCTCGCGAAATTACGCAGAAATTAATTCCTCGCGTAAAATTAGGAATCTACAGTATATAATGAAATCAAGTCCTCTTGAACAAAACTTTGTAAACATTGTAAACACATGAAGATTTCCCATTACCTCCTCAAATAAGCCAACATACTAGGTACTACAAATGCATATCTGCAATTTCCAAATTAGAAACACAGGAAAATAGAATCATCAGTTTATGTATGATGCATGTGATCACCGACTTTTACTGGTATACACTTACCTTCTGCATTTTGAATGGCACGTTATGTCAAACTTGGTCTTGTTTTCCTCGATTTTGAAGTTATGGTTGAAAGAACCATCTAATTCTTGGATAGTAACTGTCAGTGGTCCCTTGAAATAACAAAAAAAATTAACATGAATAAGTGCAATGTATATCCTTACAATGTCAGGGGACCTGAATCCAATTGAGGATGTGGAACCACTGACAAAATTAGATATTTACTCGGCTACCATCAGCGACATCTTTCGGGGAAAATACAAACTATATAAAATAATGGTTGATACATGTACAGTGTACATGCAGTTTTCTTTGTAAATATATTACACTGTTCATATTTGCCATTTTAAAATTGAGTGCATCTGATGAGAATAAAAGGAAACTTATTTGATTTTGTTAATTAATAATCATGAAATTACATGTACTAGCCCTGGGAACATTTCTGCACTACTTACCACATACTTGATGGACCCTTTGGCACCAAGATCCTGTTTCAACTCTAACTCTACCACATTTCTTTTTCTGTTGAACACAAAGTTTCCAAAAAATCTGGCACATCCACTCTGGGACCTGACCATTAATTAAGGATTCTTTATTCAGCAACCGACAAATTTCTAAATAATATTTATAGAAACATACATGATCACTTTTTAATTGAAAGGGTTTTTTTTTTTATATCTATAAAGGATACACCCAAAGATCTAAGAAAGGAGTGATGTCTTTCCCTGTCACCGTTGATATGATCTTAAGAAACTACAAATGAGAAAAAAAAACATTTGTTCTTGAGAACTTATTTATGTAAGTGGTTTCAAAAGATAAAGATACATGTACTAACAGTATATACAATAATTGAAAGATAGAGCCACTGAAGGGACAGAACTCTTACAGATGAGGTTGACAGGAGGAGGTTCCCCCAGGCATTGGCACCAAATTTCTGTGAGGCTCCTGTCGAGGCCAAGGCCACTAGTTTGTTGAAGACCTGAAATAGTATTAAAGCATGGAACTACTTTGAATCTTATTTCATATTTTATATTTTCTAGTTTATACATGTATGTACATTTATATAGCTCTTAAATATACATGTAGCTCTGTTTCATAAAAGCTTGATTTGTATGCAGTTCTCTGACTTTTATACCTACTGGGAAGCAATATAATTGTTATAAATGTACATGTCAGACAATTTTTAAAAATAGTTTTACCAAACGTCAAAGAGGGAAAAATTGAGGAAAACCATCAAAGAAACATAGGTAATCAAAGATTACGAAGCTCACATCGACGAATGTTATCAGTTTAAGTAATGCAATTCTCACATCATATTTTCTTAATATTAAGTATTCATCCCAACAACAATATTCTTGCAAGTTGTGATTAACCCCTTACATGGCATATACACATTTCTATGCGTTTAGCGTGAAAAACGTATCATGTAAACAAATATTCATAACTGTTAATACTGCAGATATCAATGACTTCAAATTCATTCGGATTGATCTGTTCAAAAAAATTTAACCTGGTCTCTTGTATGGAAATATAGGTCAGATCCAGCATTTGAAGCAAGTCTGATAGTGTCCATCCTTAGATGCATCATCCATGCAAGTTTGGTTTAGCTAGGGCTTATAGTTACTTGGGAATGAAAATGTAAGTCAGATCCAGCATCCGAAGCTAGTCTGGTAGTGTCCATCCTTAGATGCATCATCCATGCAAGTTTGGTTTAGCTAGGGCTTATAGTTACTTGAAAATGAAATGTAGGTCAGATCGAGCATCCGAAGCAAGTCTGGTAGTGTCCATCCCTAGATACATCATCCATGCAAGTTTGGTTTAGCTAGGGCTTATATATACTTGGCAAGTCTGGTAGTGTCCATCCTTAGATGCATCATCCATGCAAGTTTGGTTTAGCTAGGGCTTATAGATACTTGGGAATGAAAATGTAGATCAGATCGAGCATCCGAAGCAAGTCTGGTAGTGTCCATCCCTAGATACATCATCCATGCAAGTTTGGTTTAGCTAGGGCTTATAGTTACTTGGGAATGAAAATGTAGGTCAGATCCAGCATCCGAAGCAAGTCTGGTAGTGTCCATCCCTAGATGCATCCTCCATGCAAGTTTAGTCCAAATAGGGCTTATAGTTCCTGTGGAATGGACCTGCTCCAAAAACTTTAACCTGGTCACTCATCTGGAAAATGTAGGTCAGATCCAGCCTCCGAAACAAGTTTTGTAGTGTCCTTACCTAGATGCATCATCCATGCAAGTTTGGTCCAGGTAGGGCTTATAGTTCCTTGGAAATAGACCTGCTCCAAATACTTTAACCTGGTCACTCATCTGGAAAATGAAGGTCAAATCCATCATCGGAAGCAAGTCTGGTAGTGTACATCCCTAGATGCATGATCCATGCAAGTTTGGTCCGGGTAGGGCTTACAATTCCTTGGGAATGGACCTGCTCCTATAACTTTAACCTGCTCCAAAAACTTTAACCTGGACACTCATCTAGAAAATGTACGTCAGATCCAGCATCCGAAGCAAGTCTAGTAGTGTACATCCCTAGATGCATCATCCATGCAAGTTTGGTTCAGGTAGGGCTTATAGTTACTTGGGAATGGACTTGCTCCTAAAACTTTAACCTGGGATGCCGACGCCGGGGGTGGAGCATAAGCTCATCTCGACTTTGTCGAGGTGAGCTAAAAAGTACTGGCAACATCAAAACTCTGATATACGGAATGTAGAAAAGGACTTCTGCTTTTCAACATGAATTAATCCTAAATCTAATGACTGACCTGTATAAGTAGCTGTTCTCCAATCCTCTGTTCTAACATCCTGATAACCAGTAGCGACTTAGATCTGAAAGCCTCCATATAGCGTGGGGAGACAGTGTGGGGGCTCTTGATGGAGAAGTGATGGTTGGAGTCACGTTTTGTTGGATCTAACACAATTCCCCCCACTCGGTTCTCATATTCTTGGACATCTTTTAAATGCTATCAAATTGAAAATCCATCATTAAAATTGTTCGAAAGATACAATATTAAGCATAAATTTTTAATTGATGATGATTTTGAAGATATTAAAGTGTTTACTAAATAATTACAAGGAAAATTATCACATTTATTTATCAAATAAATTTTAATGTGTTTTACAGGTATAATTATGAAGCTGATTTTAACTAAACTGATGATGGATTTCACATGAAATTATCATGGTAAAGATAAATAAATTTAAACACTCATCACTCATGACATACATTTGAAATTCTGAATCTGTACTCATTGTTTCCAAATGTTTTCTTTATGAAAAGGCCACCTAAGTAACCCGATATTCCAAGAGGCAGCCAGGCATCAGACCTGCATAAAAACATATCACTTCTGAAAATAACTATCAAATTCTTTTCACTCAGTTTAGGTTGCATTATTTCAAATAAACACAATGTTTGAACTCTGACATTAATTATAGAAACATACACATTCTAAGGATAAAAAAATATACATGTATTTTGAAATCAATTTCATTAATTTCTTATTTAGTTTTGATTGTTCACTGAAATACTTTTGCTAATTCAATACCCCCCCCCCCAATCTTATTTACAAGATGAAATTTTACCAAGTTTGCATGGCAATAAAGGTTCCAAAGAACTGTTTAGCAATGGCCTCTGCCAGGATGTTTCTTGTGGTAACAGTCTGGTCTATAATCCTGTTAGAGTGTAACAAGTTGGTGCTGAAATGGAATTAACTAATTATTTTCAGGTTCTTGAAAACAAACATGATAACTAAGTTTTAAATAAAAATTTCTGACCAATAAAAACACGAGTATTTCAATATTTGACAGTATTAAATGATTTCATTTACAAACCTTAGAATTGACAAGGTGGCATAAGAAGTAGATTCCTCATAAGCTTCGTCCACAAACACGTGTTTATAACAGGAGTAGGGGTACCGACTGGACAGCAGCTCCTCGTAAAACTCAAAAGCCTTTCAGAGAGAAAAAAAACAATAAAGTGTTTAGACAGACATTTCTATTTCTCACAAACATTGTAAATCTTTTTTTTTAATACTATTACAAGTAAATTAAAGTCAAAGTTCAATTGTTGACCTCTATTTGATTTTCATTACAAGTTGAAAGATCTGAAATTTGAACAAAAGTAACAATTTTCTCTGATTACCTTGTGGATGTAGTTTGTTGTGTATTTGAGAATTTCTGACAGATGTGGTAAACAGAAGTGGGTCACTTCATGCATGTTTGGGTCCACATGTATTTCAAATGGCCTGCAATGTATAAATACACTGTAAATCACTTTTTATTCACGAGAACCTCATTTTCGCGTAATTACGCAAGACAATGCATTCAAAAATGGCCTGATTATATGGAGGAATAACAAATATTCGTAAAATTAAATATAAATAAAAATAAGGTCTCGGGAAAATTTAGTGATCTACAGTAATACTCTCTACATAATACATGTAATATCAATATTTAAGAAATTTACCTCTGACTATCATAGATAATAATATTCATTCTGAAGTTTCAATTTTCCATTCATCTTTTACAGTGTTTAAAATTCACACTATATGACTTATTAGCAAAGTAATCTACATGTACATGTATATCTGGAAGACTTATAGTGAAAATAAACTCATGCAAGCATATTAGACACACAAGAAGATGTTGTAAACACATAATCATATAACAACCATGCCATGTGAAATCCTTTTAATTGTGCAACATGAAATTCTATAACTCATCAGTAAGTATATTGGCAGAATATAATAAAACAAAATATCAGAAAACCATATCTAGTACAAGTATATCTAAATATTTGTATGTTCTAGAAAGTGAAACAGTTTACGTACCCTACAGCCATTCCGATGTTAGGTGCCGATGTAGGAACAGACAGGAAGTAGTGGAAGGTCTTCCGTTTTTTGTCGGAGGTGGATATCACCTCAATGAGATCGCCACAGGTCACCGCTGTCAGTTCATTGTCAACCGTCACCTCAATTTTCCACGTGCATGGCTCTGAATATGTGTCCAAACATGGGAACCATAATCTACAGAATTCAGTTACTTTTTTTCACTTCTTCATCTAACCTCTGCTTTGATCTTCTTTTTTTTTAAATTGATAGTCTACTTTTGAATAATTTTGTGTCATGTACATGTATAATAAAAATTTATAAACTTTGATAATCTATATTGACTTACCTGGAACAATTATTGAGGCCTCCAGTAAATGCATGTGGAGCTTTTTCATGAACACTTCCTTGTATGTCTGGTATAACAAAATGTAGACCACCTTTTGGATTTTCTAGGGAAAACTCAATGCAAACACGAAAGGGGCGTAACTCTGTAATAATTTAAAATAATTATAAAGTGAGCACAATTAGTACACTCAGAAAGACTACACTAATGCTAAAAACAACATATATTTTAAATAGGCAAAAAATATATCTTGCATACATTTGACATGATATTTCAGATTCAATTGATGTCATGAGCATAAATGAAAATCACCTACATATACTGGTATATTTTTCCTTATAAATTTTACTGAAATTTATCTAATTTATATTAAACTCCTTTCCAGTAAAAATAAATATGCTAGGCACATTTGGTTTTGTATCATTAAAAGCCAAAATAATGCCTTTTCACCTGCAATGTGCATGTACATTTCTGGAGGGAGGCGGACAGTGATTTCTCCATTCCCATTGTCAGGATCAACGGCAGACATGGCAGAGAAATGGCAATGCTGAAAGTAATCCAGATTTCTCCTGAAACAAAAAAATATATCAACATGTGATGGGAGACTAAACTCTTATTTTTAATATGGAGTACATTGTACCTCTTTTGATGAATAAAACACAGAAAATAGGATTATAAGAATGAGTATTTGACTTACTGTTTTGCATCTCCCTGGCATATTTCTAGAGTTGGGTCATTGTACAGAAATTTGGCTTCATGCTGGTCATTTATAGACACATGATAAATACCTGTTGCAGATAAGGATACTTTCTATTCCTATTCTCTTATAAATTACTCAAATTGTGATATTGTAGTATGCATAAATTCATCTCAAGCTGAAAAAAGCATGCATATAGTAAGTGATACAGAAGCTAGTATGTAGAGTTGAAAAATATTGGGTAAATTATAGACAAGACTGTAGAGGATACGACACTGCTTGCTGTTGATCTTGACTCTCTTTAAATCATGTCTTAAGGGGTGGATGAGAAGTTCAACATAGCCCTGAAAAATACATTAATGTCAATACTGTAAACATGAATATATTGAAGGGCTAAGTTTGATGACTTTGATGTCTTAGAAACAAAAACTTAACTAGTGCTAATTGTAACGGGAACCGTTAATTTTCCACCCCAACTCCCTTTTCGTGCCATATTCCTGTAAGTTTTATTAAAATAGGCAGAATCTATGCATTTAAGACTTAAACAACATTGCATGAGCGTAATGACTATATCATCTTGTCTACACTATTTTACTCATTGCACGTGCACGCACGTGCATGATGACCATGCCTTCTTGTAGGAGTCCATTATGCCTGTCTATGTTCTTAATCCCATCCTGTTTGGTTGAAAAACAAGGGAGTTATAGCCATTTAAAGTTTAAGCCAATCAGATTGCAGCGCACGTGCATGCGCGTGTTCATGACAATTATTATATATCATGTTGTAGGACATCTTAAAGTATGCCTATGTTTTAAATTTCGAAGCATTTGTCAGAAAACAGAAAAGATATTGAGATTTTTGTTTCAGCCAATCAGAGCAAAGCGCACGTGCACTCACGTGCATGCATGTAAATGTTGACCATACCATCTTGTAGGAGTCCTTTATGTCTATCTATGTTCTTAATCCCATCATGTTTGGTTGGAAACCAAGGGAGTTATAGTCATTTAAAGTTTCAGCCAATCAGATTGCAGCCCACGTGCATGCATGTGATTTCACGAAAATTTTTATATATCATATTGTAGGGTATCCTAATGTATGACTATGTTATAAATTTCAAAGCATTTCATCGAAAAACAAAAAAGATATTGAGGTTTTTGTTTCAGCCAATCAGAGCAAAGCGCACGTGCATGCGCGTGAGTTCATGCAAATTTGACCATGTCATCATATCTATACATCCTATATATCTTTATATAATGAGTTTCAAAACATTTCATCAAAAAATATAGAAGTTACATCCATATCAAATATATCAGTCAATTCACTCATTTCACGCGCACGCACGTGCATGCGTATGCGCGCAAAATGACCTTCGTTCCGCACACCTACACTACACACCTATTAACCCTAAAAAGGTTTTAGCTCAGTTGGGTGAACAGTTTCTGAGAACACTCGCGGACAAAAAAAGTACAGGAGAAGAAATAAGAAAAAAAATAATAATAATAATAATAATAACTAGAAACGATCTCGTTGCGAGCAACGAGAGATCTTCCGTCCGATTCTGGAAAAAAATCCCGTAAAATCGAGTTGAAAAAGTGATTCAAAATTTTGGTCGCAAAGAGGATTGAACCCATGTTGCCTTTTTCTGTTTTATCCCCAACGCGCAAACCATTAGGCTTTTGGGAGTACTGCTCTAAATAGAACTTGCGTGTATACTTTTGCAACAGTACACCTGTCTAAGAATCATAAAAGGCGGGTCACTATTAATAATTTGCGCCAAACGCCACGAGTAAATATTCGCGCATTTTCTTTGAACTTATCTATTAAATAGGTGTGATAGCTTCAATGAAATAAGATAAATAAAACGTTCTTATCGCCTTTATTTTATTTCGACGTTTAAAAAGTCTTTGTTTACATTACATATATCGTATCTAGCCCAGTTACACTAAAGTAGTGAAACGGAAATTAAGTGTTAAGATTGACACTGAATTGCAACGAACTACTACATGACAGTCCAAGTAGTTTTTTTTTTTACATTTCATGCATTCGTATGTCAGAATGGTTTAATCAAACGCTCGGCTGCCTCCATAAACCCCAATTGCGAAATGGCGGAATTGACAAAGACAGCCGCCATCTGGGGCCCGCTTCAGATTTTCAAATATTAATATCTAGAATTCAGATAAGCCAATTTTCAAACAACTTATATAGTTAGCATCAAATTGTTAAGATGAATACTTTTGCTCAGTATGTGTAACAAAATATTGATCATTAGAGAGTTATAGATAAAAGACTTTTGGCCCCTCTTAGCACCTAATTTGAAGGGTCAGCCCTATTTTTTGACATCAAATGAAAGGTCTTGCGACGTTGCACATTTTGTCTTCAATATGTTTTAACAAATTATGAACAGGTGTTAAGATATGAGACAAAATGCGTCATATTTTGTGAGATATTTCTGAGACATTTTTTCGGCCCTACCGAACTCCGGTGCCTTTTGCGCTAGAAAAATTTGGAGACCCAATTACAACTCACCAAACCTTCCTCTATTTTCCCTGAAAATCTCAAGTCCATATCTTAAGTCGTTTCGGAGGAGTTTCCCGGACAAGCCGACCCTCTGAAAATCAGAAAATCGTCCATATCTCACGACCGGAAGTGACGACGTACATATAAAAAATTTCCAATAAGGTTCAGACCAATATCTATTAGATCTGAAAGTTTCGTGAAAATCGACCGAGCCGTTTCCGAGAACTCGCGTGCACAAAAATCGGTAAGAAAAAAAAAAGAATAATAATAATAATAGGGAAAAAGAAACCGAACGAAAACAATAAGGTCTTCCGTTGGAGACGGAAGACCTTAATAAGAAACAGAGTAAAAACAATATGTTCCCAAACTCCGTTTGGGGAACATAATGACAATATCAAGGGATTTTCCACTGCCCCGTGTAGGGCCGAATATGGGCCCCATTCCCAATTGCAAAATCACTCCATTTTCCCCAAAAATGAACAGCCTGTGTTTGACTTTTTAAAAATTGATGTAAATCAAACATGGTCAGGTTTGAACTCTTAATGAAATGAACAAAATTTTTGGAGACTTTGCTAAAACTTTATAATAATAGATCTATTGAAGTAAAGTTCTGAATAATGAAGTAAAAAATTAATTTTAACTATCAGAAGTGTTTATTTATTGAAATACATCTTGCTATAAATTTTCTCAGAAAGTTGTAAAATGTCATAAAATTCCCAATGGTAAGGGTCTGGGCCCCTTTCCCAAAATGGGGTGGAAAATCCCTGTATGGTATGTTAGTTTTTAATAGTGCTCTTTAATGAAAATGTGAAAAAATGATGAGTGAAAACTCTGACAAATTTTATGTCATTCATAAATTTTGTCAAATATTCCGTCATTAAGTTATCATTTTTACAGTAAATTATTTCAAATATTAATCTCTAACAACATGTGAAAAATTGATGTAAATGTATGCACAACACAGAACAGTGAGTGAAATAGCAAATATATTTTAACCTATAAACAGTCAGGGGCATAACTTAAACAAGTTATTTTCAAAAATAACTCAAATGAGTTATTTTTTTGTCTCAATGAGTTACTTCTCTTTGCTATGACCTACTTTTTCCCAACCTTAATAACTCAAACACGTTATTTTTCCAAAATAGCTTCAATAAATAAATAACTTATTTAAGTTATTTTGTGTCATTCCTCCCTAACTTCACACCCCGTGCACCAAAGGATTTTGCTCATGCACCAAGACAAAAACAAATGTTTGACTAAATATAAACCTTGCTCAATGCAGAAAAAGTGTTCGAAGTCTTGGAAAAAGTGGGGAATTTTTTTTATTTAATGATTAAATTTGGACATATACACCATGTGGATAAAACCACAAAATAAGGAGTAAAATGCTGTTTATCTCCACCTCCTCACCAATTCTCCATTGGAGTTGGTGAACTCCATCTAGTATTACAAAATGGAATCCCAAAATGCAATGCAAATTGGCAGGAAACACAAAATTTCCAAGAAATCAATGTCCACGTCTAGGATATAAAAATAACTTATTTAAGTTATTTTTCAAAAAAAAATTTGCCCATGTGAAATAATGTAAAATAACTCATTTGAGTTATTTTTGAAAATAACTTGTTTGAGTTATGCCCCTATAACAATTAAGTCTTAAAAATACCATAACTTACTATTAAGGACTTCTTCTCAAGATTTATTGCACGAATACACAAAGTCTGATGAGCTAAGAGAAAAAGATAGATGTTTAGTATCATGTTAAAAATATAATTAACAAGTTGGGACCAATCGCCCAAATGGGATATAATAGTCCATTTGGGATATAATATCCCAAATGGGCTATAAATTTACAGTGCAAAAATTGAAATATTTTCTTTTGGCAATAAATATTATAAATCCACATCAAAACACTTAAAAAGGAATAACTTTTGGTAAGTAAGTTTTTTTGCAACCTGCAGTTTGTAAGATCGATCCCCAAGGAGTTAAGGAACTTCCGAGGGATCAATCTACTATACAATGGGCTTACAGGAAAACTCTTCAACTAAAAGTTATTCCTTTTTAAGTGTCTTAATGCGGATTTATGATATTTATAGTGGGCGCAGCGAGCGTCACAAAGCGACGCTCGTAACTGCGAGCTCTAACGACAACGCCTAGGCAAAGAGAAAATTCGGACTACTGCACATTCATTCTTTAGAATTTTTAGCCGCAGTAATTTTGACCAACAATGCATCACTTTGTAAAATTGCGTTCTCACGAGAATGACGGCAAATGTTCAACAAAAAGTTTACTCGCCTTGATTAAATAGATACATATTGAAGATAAATAATAAACGTAACTTTTTTCATTTACTTTCAGCACTGTTCAGTTTTCTCTTGGTGTTTGAAACTTACATACGACGTCAGAGTATAGACGCACCAAATGTCATGTGCGGTTTGACGAGCCTGATCGAATATATTTGCTTTCAATTAAACAATGTTAAACAATAGAAGATTTTGCACTCGCTCTAACAGTCGCACCGTCAACATATTAGCCAAAATAAAAATTCATTTTTTGCACTGTAAATTTATAGTCCGTTTGGGATATTATATCCCAAACGGACTATTATATCTCATTTGGGCGATTGGTCCCAACTTGATTAATATATTGCATCTGCAGGAACATTACTAATTTATTATTACCCAATTTATATGGCCTTGAAACATCCGACTTTCCCTCCTTCTTCATGTTTCGATGTAAGACTAAAACATCAAACTCTTGATGATCACGAATCAAGGAAAAAAAATGGTCTACATCACATTTTATCTGTAATTTCTTTTCATTTTTGTTTACATTCTGGAAAAGTTATGGACGCCGCCATTTTCTAAGTTTATGGAAATTTTCGAATTTAGTTACTTTTCTGTATACAATTTACCAAAGAAAAAAATGTTCATTTTTTGATTATTCAATAAATCATATTTTGAATATTTTAATCAATTAATGATTTTATATCTTTTATTACCGTCATTTTTTAAATACGAAAGTAAATATTTTCTAGCTTTACTTATTGCGTCAAATTGCCTAAATGAACTGACAACTCACCAAACCTGAGTCTGAGAGGAATAAACGCATTATTGTTGTCTAATTTACGCTCAGTAAGCACGTATTAATCTTGAAACAAAAAGGTGTAAGACAAAATGGCAAGTCCACGAACGAAACGGGTGTTAAAAGATCTTCGTCTTCAAGAAAACAATAACGTAAGTGGTCTCTGAAAAATTCTGTCATTTCAGTTTCACCTGGTTTTCTCCCATCATAAGGGTTGCTCCAGGTGTTATTTTGTTTGAAATAATTAAATTGATATTTTTTCACATGTCAACCAGCCCGTGTGTCACAAAATTTTATTCCTTGTATCAAATTTGTAATATGTTTTACGGTGTGACCGTTGGGGCGAGCGCAGTTGTACCATCGAAAAAACTTGCAAAATTTATCTGCCACTTCAAACATCAAGCCGCACGAGACGTCTCGACTACCTGTGACGTCACGCAACGTCATTTTTACGGAGACAGCCGAGCGTCTGGTTGAAACTCTAGACCTAGTGCAATTTTGGTCGAAAAACATTGCAGAGTTATTTTTTGTTTATTTGAAAAATATCTACAAACTGATAGGCCTAGCCTTTCATCCTTTACGTTATTATTTATTTATTTATTTATTCGCGCAAAGGTCATTGGGTAGTGCAAATTTGTTGCAAGAGAAATTTGGCTGACGTATGTACAGATTTCAATCCGAATTTCCTCTGTTCTTACACGTTAGTCTATTGAGCTCGCTTCGCGAGCGTCGCTTCGCGACGCTCGCTGCGCTCGCTATAAATTTTAAATTCTAAAATGGATCCTATAAACATTTGACAGTCAGCTGTTTTTTTTAAATGAAGTTTTCTGAACGTAAGAAACAGTTAGTTCTCATTATATGAAAACAATAAATTTGTTTTGAGCAAATATGCCCCCATTTATTTAAAGTTTTTGTCGTCTAAAAGTTGAAATTCTTCGTTATTTCATAGTCGAAAAGACAAATAAAATGAATTCTTGTTAAAAATTTTAAATATGATTATAATATCATGTCATATTGAATGTATTGAGCTATGTATCATATTGGTGTGTTTGTCTTGTTCCACCCCCTGAAGTCTAGGGTTGGTAGTTAGAATGATCTAACTGTGTCTCGGTACAAGCCCTCACCACAGTTAGAATACGTCCCATATACTTGCAATGTAGCAAATCAGAGCGGATCCGCTCCGAAACGATTTTGAAGAATAGAAAAGGATATGCACTGGAAATAACTACCAATTTAATAAAAACAAACCTTTTTGAGATTGCTTATGCCTTTTATCCCAGAAAATAATCCATCTAAAGACGAAAATCCAATTAATTTTCTCAACGTTTTTCTCTCGCATAAAATTTACTTGCCATGTTTACATTCGGAACTCTCTAGATTGTTCGTAGTAAAAGCACTAATTATAGTGAGTGCGAGTTATTGCCCATGTGTCTTTTGCTACATTATGAATACATAACAATTATACAAACCGGCAATAATATCTTTTAACGATGCGTTCTATATTATAGTGTGTGAGATGATTTATAACTGAAAAGGGGGAATGGAATTGGGACCCCAAAATCACCATAGTCATGTGCTTTAGTCACAATTAAGAACTGAGACACCCAGACTGAATCCCCAGTCAACAGAACCCAAACCACTACTCTTAAATCATAACATTTATACACCCAATATACTGTAAATGCATTATATTTAGTGTGTACAATATTTTGCGGACATTGATTTTTGAACAAGAGCGTGTTTGTGCACACTTCTTAATGTTATTTATGCTTATGTGTGCAAAACACTAACGTTGTACTTGAATTTGTGGAAGTTCTTCTCCACCATAAGCGCTTAATAGAATACACAGCCAAATGTAATACGTTTACAGTAACAGAAAAGGATAAATTTATGGCTGGACCAGGAATTAAACCTGAGATTGTTCAAGTACATTACAAGTTAATGATAAAATATAATACTTTTATAGAGTTTTAAAACAATGAAATCCAAATTCCCAAATCCACTAAATTCTTTTATCAAATTTTATCATCACAAAAACTTCTGTTTCTATTGTAAATCAGCATAAAAGTTTTCCTTGTTACTCTAATCAATATGATCTGTTAGTTTATGTAGTGATGAAAAATTTATCCAAATGGAATGTCTCTATACATGCTATATTACTTTGCTCATTTTGTTTGCTTTCTTTTTTTACTTCTTTTTCTTTGTTGTGATATGTATATGTAACTAGTATGAAGATGCAGATGGTGTGAAGTTGATGATATTTATGTAATCTTGCAATAATTCATTAATTTAAAATCATTTGTATTCTTTTTGTATAATTGCAGAAATGCTTTGAATGTGGTGCTCACAATCCCCAGTGGGTCAGTGTAAGCTATGGAATCTGGATATGCTTAGAATGTTCAGGAAAACACAGAGGATTGGGAGTACATCTAAGGTATTTTAAAAATTTCTTATCTTATTTATTAGTCAGATGCTCTAATAACTTAGCTACTTAGGTTTATATCCACCTTTCATAAAGCCCAAGGGTTTATTTTACAAAAGAACTTATGACTGAGACCTAAATCTTGAATTGTTTATAAAAGAATGAGTGCACTTAAGTACGTCATTTGGAACCTTTTCGGCTACCCATTTTAAGCTTAACATTACAATACATCGTTAAATTAATCTATGATTAAAAATGTGCAAGCATATGCTTTTGATATTTATTTCTAGAATTTTTTTGTCAAACATATTTCTATAATTACAGAAAATGTAATTGAAAAGAACATGTAAAAGCCTTAAATTCCGGAAATTTGAAGAACCACTTATCTAACCGCATGGTTGTGGAATGTAAACATTAGCACATATGATTATTTCGCATTGCGAATTGAAATGGAGAAGAGAGAGAGATCGTGTTGATTTGTTGATTTCATGGTGCACAATTATTAAATGAAATGTTATTAAGGGATTGCAAAATTAAGCCTATACATGTACTTATAATGACACTATCAATACCAGAATTCTTTCAAAACACCCCTTATGAAAAGCATGAAGTTAAATCAGAGACATATTATCTTCATACCCTATTAAAATTTGCGCAAAAATTGAAGTTGGAAGTACGATAGATAATGTCACAACAGAGACTTAAGCACAATGAAATTTTCAATGAAAGCGTTAGCGTATCGAACAGCAGAAGGTCACATGAGAAAGGTGATTATAATATCAATCGTTGTTGCTCAGTGACCGGTTAATTTAGTAGCTATCTCGACCCTAGTTTGGGGACATTTTCTTGAAAATTAGATATGAGCCGCAACTTGGCCAACATTGTCCTTTGGATATGTATAAGTTTACGTTAAAATACATATTCTGTGCAAATAAGAAAAATGGCCAAGTTGCGGCTCAATGTAAACAAAGTCGTTGAAAACTGGTATGCATATGAATAACAATAGAAATGAGACAAAACTGTTAGACCCCCGTCTCAAAAGCTAGTGTCGTTCGGCATTATTTAATACTTTCATGTAATATAATATACCAAAACCTACTCTTATGACATAGTCTAATACCTATAAAACATAAATTTAATGAATTTTGGAATTTTATTTTGCGCAAAACATCGGGATCCAACTCTCATAGTTTAAGTGCACTCATTCTTTTGCAAAATTAATGATCATGTTTATTATTGCTAACGTGAAATTATCTTACTACATTTCTTTCAGAAAGATTAAAACCTTTTGAATTTACTGGGTAATGTTAATTAGAAACTTATAAAAAAAAATTAAATTGTGGTCTTAATCGTAAGTTCTTTTGTAAAATGGGCCCCTGACTTCTACAACTGTACCATGTGTACAGGTTTTACTTAATGTCAGTTTAATTTATTTATGTAGTTAAACTGACATGTAAAGTAGAGCTGTCTGAAACCAGGAGAATATACTAAAGTTAAAATCATAAGATATAATATTTTGTTTAAAATGATTAACTTTAAGATAATTCTGGCTTAGTGATGCTACCTGGTATTTGATCAGAAATATTTCTCTATATATTTCTTTGAGGTTATTAATTTGATAGAAATTAAATGTCATTAATATTCATATTCTTTGTAAGATCATACACAGCTTATTTTGGCATTGTTTTCAGAATAATGTTAATTGTATCATTAAAAAAGTTTTTAGCTTATCAAGATTACCGGTATTTTTCATCAGACAATATGTAGATTCTTACAAATATTAAACACAACATACATGGTCATTTATTTCAGTTTTGTACGGTCAGTATCTATGGATAAATGGAAAGATTCAGAGTTAGAGAAAATGAAAGCAGGAGGAAACCAGAAGGCCTTGGAATTCTTTCAGTCACAGTCAGACTACTCAGATGGAATGTCCATACAAGAAAAATACAATTCCAGAGCAGCAGCATTGTTAAGAGACAAGGTGGGGAAGATTTTAGTATTGAAAAATTATTAAAGAATCAGAAAAATACAATGAATTACATGTTTTAGAGAAGAGAAAAGAACTTTTTATTAGTGTCATAGAGTTGCACAACTCTGATTTCTGCATGTTATGAAATTTAAATTCCTACCAGCCCTGGCATTATTAACTCAGAATTCATGTATTTCCTGAAAAATGACTTTCAAGAAAAATTTTGTCAGTGCTGTCGAAAATTAAATTTCACTTGAACTTCCATATCTCACACTTTGATATCAAAACCAATTTACTTGTATCTGTATGTATTTTAACCTCAGTATGTTGAATTCTCAAATTTCAAGACATTTGTTTTCATTCCAATAGAGTTACTGATAACAAGGTTTTACTGTAGTGATGGGCCAATGAGCTAACCTAAATGTTTATACATAAATAAAACATTCATTAGTGTTAAACTAAATATTTCAATCTGTGTTCATTTTGGAAGTTTTGAATGAAGTCTCTTTTTAATGATTAATCAAACAATATTAAAATATTGAAATAAAACAGAAATCAAAGTTCTAACAAATTTTAAATGAATCAGAGCAAGCATACTTTTCAGTGTACTGTGGTAAAGTATTTTTTTTTTCAATGTAAAACACATTTATAGAAATACAGCACAAATAAATCATCATCATGTTTTCTCCTGTTCATAACAGATAACAACTATAGCAGAGGGGAAACCCTGGAGTATAGCAACGTCCTCAGCTAAAGACTACGTAGCATTTAAACCCCGAACCTCCCTGCCAAAATCCTCTAGCTATACCCAGAACCACTCTAACGGCTACAGCAATTTAGGAGCAGATGATTACCAGGATAGCTACCAAGACGCTGAATTTTACAAAAGGTCAGTCTCTTTTGTGTATGATTAAAAACTGGAAAGGAGAATTTATCCAACATGTATGTGGGTGTATGTTTCAGTAGTCATGGATTTTTTTTCCATAGATATTTTATTGGCTACTGGTTTAATCAGTTTTAAACTTTGCATAGAGAATGTGCAAAATGTAAATTAGATATTTAAAATTGTTTTTTATATTGATTTTTTCAGTGATAGCTTTAAAAAGAAGAGAGATGACTTCTTTGATCGCCAACAAAGAGAAAATGCATCCAGGCCAGAGTAAGTTCATTTGAGTTGTCTTTCTTACACTAAGAAAACTGAAGCAGGGGTATTTTTGTCTCCTGGCTTCTGCAAAAGAACAAAAGAAGAAAATTTTTTAAAATTCAGCCCTATTCAAAGATAACATTAAGCTTTCAATACACATTAATGGAATCTCTTTTTACATTGTCTTCAATATTACATGTACAATATTTTATCCCTCATTGTGACAAATATACCCAAAGGCTCATAGGAAGTTGTTTCAAATTGTTGGGGTTGAGTGGAGAAGAAGGGGACAACCAAACATTTTTCAGTTCGAGGAGGGGCACTACAAAGCAAAATTTCTCTGACGGAAAAAAAAATGTACCATAATCAAAGTAAAACACTGCTTTTAGGGAGAACAAGCATAAAGTATCTCTGTTTTCTATACTATACTATTTATCAGTGAAATTCCTGAAGAGATTACCTCTGCTCTATTAAGACAAATAGCAACCTTAATTTATACTTTTATATAACACAATTTATTCATTTTTATAACATAATTTTTCAGTTATACCTTTTCCTCATTTGCAGAAATTTACCTCCTAGCCAGGGAGGAAAATATGTAGGATTTGGAAGTAATCCTGCTCCCCAGCCAAAAGGTGATGACTTCTTTGACTCAACGCTTTCATCGCTATCTTCGGTAAGAGACTTAAATTTAGTTGTTTAAAATCTTTGACAGTAACAGAGTTTATACATTGTTCAAGTCCCTGATGACATCAGTTCAATTCAAATGCTTCAAAAATATTGTTTTGTATTTTAGGGATGGTCATCATTTACACTGGGAGCATCCAAGTTTGCTTCAGTTGCTTCTGAAAAGGTATGTTTCTGTATTACATGTATTAATTCAGGGGTGCATTGAAATATTCTGGTTATCAGATTTAAAATGAGTATTGTATCTCAAAACATGGTCAAATGATAGTGATATTGTGTTGGGATTGATTTCTTTTACCAAAGGTAGGCTTTGCTCAGATTATTATGTTGTATGAGAAATCAGTATCAGAAACTAGAAATTTCAAAGGAACCATGTTCAGGAAAATCATGGTATAAAAGACCTTTAATAAATGAGATTTTGTTGACCTATTTGAATTACGGTACATACTCAAATATAACTTTATGGTTGTGAGATAATGAGTGGTTTTATTTCATGATCGCTCTCTTTCTCTCTCTCTCTCTCTATCTCTTTCTCTCTCTAAATGCTTCTTGTGCTGGTACTAAAGTTGATGAAGTTAAAGTTGCCTTACTGCACAAAAGCAGTCCCAAAACTCTGCATCTTTTGAATACCGGTAGTATCATATAGTTTAGTAATTTTTAATATTTGCACAGAAAAATATGCTTGATTCCTTACAAACACTTTTCATTATAACTGTAAAGGTCACAATATGTTTTAAAATCATATTATTGAATACAATTCATTATAAACGTGTTCACCATAACCATCATTTATTGTAATGGGAAGTGATACTGGTACTTATCAAGTGTACAGTACCATTTTTTTCACTTATATTGTGTGCATGATAATTAGAGCATAGACATAATCACATCTAAGGTTACCCAATACTTGGGGGAGGGTCAGGGGGGTATTTTAATTGAAGTTTGCAAATATGAAAATCCTTTAATGGTATACTGGCCGGTATATGAAATTTTGTGGTTTATTGATTATTTAAAGGCTACATCCATGTACTACATTTTTTTTCATACAAATTATTGACTTCTAATCCTTAAGGTTTCTTTTAAAAATCAAGTACTTTTGCTTGTGAATTTGATTATGCTTAAATTTTTCTCAAATGACATCAAAATACTGTATAGGGGGAAAATAACTCGCGGTGTTAATATTCGCTATATTCACGGTGATAATAAATCCGCGAATTCAAGAAACAGTGAATAATTTTTCAATAATCTCCACGTTTTATTTGGAAATTTGAGAAATAAACTACGATTATACATGTACCACAGTACATGGTCATTTCATAATTACGAGTAGTGCTTCGCATTCAATTATTTTAATTAGCACGCTTACATCAACAGATAAATACCTGTATTTGATAAAATGCTTTTTAATAGCCAACGCTACATGTTTCATCAATCAAAACACGTGGGCCATGAGTTTTGATTGCCCGTGTGTAACTAATGTTACCACGCACGATGTATTTGTTACCTGCATTATCATGCATATTATAGTTATTATCGACATTTTGATTTTAAAAAAAAAGCATTCAAATAACTATCGAACTTACTAAGGATTTGGAAGAATAATATTTCCTACATTCCTTCATTACCTACATTAACACATTTATTACCGTCCAGTGTTTTTTTTTTCGCCGCGTTGTTTTGAAAATCTTGGGATGTACATGCACTCTTTGTAACAGCATACAGAAAAGTCATTTGACGTTTATAGTCAAGGATTTTTAGCTCACCTGAGCCGAAGGCTCAAGTGAGCTTTTCTGATCAAAATTTGTCCGTTGTCTGTCGTTGTCGTTGTTGTCGTTGTTGTCGTCGTAAACTTTTCACATTTTCATCTTCTTCTCAAGAACCACTGGGCCAATTTCAACCAAACTTGGTACAAAGTATCCTTGGGTGAAGGGGATTCAAGTTTGTTCAAATGAAGGGCCACGCCCTTTTCAAAGGGGAGATAATCATGAATTTGTTAAAAATTAATTGCATTTTTAAAAAATCTTCTTCTCCAGAACCGCTGGGCCAGGAAAGATGGAACTCATGTGGAAGCATCCTCAGGTAGTGTAGATTCAAGTTTGTTCAAATCATGACCCCCGGGGCAAGGATGGGGCCAAAATGACCGACTCTAGTTTTACATAGGAATATATAAGAAAAATCTTTAAAAATCTTCTTCTCAAGAACCACTAGGACAGAAAAGATGAAACTCATGTGGAATCATCCTCAGGTAGTGTAGATTCAAGTTTGTTCAAATCATGACCCCCAGGGCAAGGGTGGGGCCAAAATGGCCGACGCAGTTTTTTTCATAGGAATATATACGAAAATCTTTTAAAATCATCTTCTCCAGAACCACTGAGCCAGGAAAAATGAAACTCATGTGGAATCATCCTCAGGTAGTGAAGATTCAAGTTTGTTCAAATCATGACCCCCGGGGCAAGGGTGGAGCCAAAATGGTTGACCCAATTTTTTCATAGGAATATATAGGAAAAATCTTTAAAAATCATCTTCTCCAGAACCACTGAGCCAGGAAAGATGAAACTCATGTGGAATCATCCTCAGGTAGTGTAGATTCAAGTTTGTTCAAATCATGACCCCCGGGGCAAGGATGGGGCCAAAATGGCTGACCCAAGTTTTACATAGGAATCTATAGGAAAAATCTTCTTCTCCAGAACCACTGGGCCATAAAAGATGAAACTCATGTGGAATCATCCTTAGGTAGTGTAGATTCAAGTTTGTTCAAATCAAGACGACCGGGGCAAGGATGGGGCCAAAATGGCTGACCCAAGTTTTACATAGGAATATATAGGAAAAATCTTTAAAAATCTTCTTCTCCATGGGCCAGGAAAGATAAACTCGTGGAATCATCCTCAGGTATTGTAGATTCAAGTTTTTCAAATCATGACCCCCGGCCCTGGGGATATTGTGTTTTACATAGATATATATTTTAAAATCTTCCTTTCAAGTACTTCAAAGATTTGATTAGTGATACCCGGGGTATTTATATGGAATCATCCTGAGGTAGTTTTTTTTGTTCAAATGATGAACGCCTGGGGGGGGGGCAGTGTGTGTGTGTGAGCACTGTGGCCCTTGATTTATTAAGTATATTTTGTATTAAACTACCTTGCGTTCCTGAAATAAAGACATAATGCTGATAAATGTCGTTAACATGTAGCTATGGTATGGATTAAACGGACAAAGACAAGGGAGGAAACTATGTGGTATTTTCCTGTCCGATGAGAGAAAACCGTGAAAATTACAACCCGTGAAATTAATCCCCTATACAGTAACCTTTAATAAAAGGTGATTTTAACTTACAGGGAATATACCTTTTATAAACTCTCTTTTTAACCTGGCTCTATCTTAAATCAGAGGCTTATGAATAACATTGGTGTATTGATTTCGCAACAGTAAATTTCTTGATATAACATGCTACATTAGATGTTGTTAGCCTACAAAGAATCTATATAAAATGAATACTCATTTTATTATCCCGTGGATGTGCAGTGTACTTTAAATTCTTTAGCCTACGTCTGGTGTGTGAAATACACAGCACATAGTTACAATTTGTTACAATATTGTTACCTTTCACGAAGTGTACCTGTGAAATTCGGGTTAATTCTTGAAATATATGGAACTTAAAATTTTATAAACTCCGTAAATAATTGTCAATGAACAGTTAACGAAAGAAATGAACAATAATTGATTTAATGACTTTATTAAAAACATGTATAATTTAATGAGAAGGTGATGTATTTTGTATGTTTTATATGGGTACAACGTTATTAATTTAGTAGGTAATTTTGTTGGTTAAAACCTTCTAACTTATTGATTGTATTGATTGTGACGTAATTTAGGTATCTGATTGTCTCTTAGGTCATCATAACAACTTTTGGCTATATAAACCAGCTGTTTTGGGTTTAGACTTCAACGGCTGTGGGGAAACACAGCCTTCTTGATATGACCTTCACTTTTGCTATACTTCAGTTATAAGACGGTACCAAGTCTATGTATACGAAACCATTAAGGGGACCAAGTACAAACGTCCTGTATTGACCATCGGTTGGTCACCTTTTTCTTACAAAATTGTACCATTAACAATGTACCATTTTGTGTGTTTATAAGTGAACCATTTGATCGTCTTAATAAATGTTATAAACTTTTAACAAGTGTTATTCCTAACAAAAACTATTTAAAGTGGACCAAAAATTGGTGTGTGTGACCAAAAGTACACAAAGAAGTGACCAAAAGTTGGTCATTACATAAACCAAAGAAGTGACAAAAGTTTTGTAACAGAAGTGACCAAAAGTCGGTCATTACGTCAACCAAAGAAGTGACCAAAAATTGGTCATTAACCATTAAATAAACTGTGACCAACGGAACCATCAAATCTCGACCAAGTGACCAGAAAACTAATAGCGGATATTACACGATACCCTCGAATAAAGCAGAAGTGGATATAGCTGAAAGCTCAAGTGAGCTTTTCTGATCACTTTTTTCCGTCCTGGCCAGAAAAGCTATATAAATTTAATGAATTTCTTTAGGACAGGGCCATACAGTTTGAAATACATATAGGAAAAATCTTTAAAAATCTTCTTCTCAAGAACCACTGAGCGAGAAAAGCTGAAATTTAATGTGAAAGCATCCTGGGGTATTGTAGGTTCTTAATTGTTCAAATAAGGCCTTGGGGGGAAACCACACTAGGGAATCCAAGTTTTACATTGAAATATATAGAAAAAATCTTCCTCTCAAAAACCACAGGGCCAGAAAAGCTGAAACTGATGTGGATGCATCCTAGAGTATTGTAGATTGTACAATTTCCGTGTTATGACCCGTTGGGGTAGGTTGAGGTCACATTACAAAGGGGAAATCTGGTAAAGAATTGGTTTCAAAATTTTGAAGCTGTTTACAGCTTATATATTGGTTTCAAATTTTTGAATACATTTTATTGATGATATGCCAAAGGGATTGGACACAAGTTCCAAAAACTTAAATAGTTCTCTCTCATGATTTCAAATTAAAAAAAAAATACCCATGATTATCACAAAATTTATGAATACCGGTATGTTATTTTCATCTACAATATATTATTTTCCCATTGTACTAATTCAGGAAGCTTTGCCCTGTTGTGAAATCAGATCACAGCACATTTTGCTCAGGAAGCATGTGTGCATTGAAACAGCAAGTCATTACAGCTATATAAAATACAGACAGCAATGTCATGGTATTGATCTGTTTTAGAATCCCATTATCTTGGGCACAAAATTAGCTTCATCTTATATTTCTTTTATCCTTAGATTCTGATGATGAGATCAATTGCGCATTTAATTTATAATTTCTTTGGAGATTTTGATACAAACCTTTTCAGTAGGAAAGTATTGATTCTGATTTTCACATATACCTCATTATAATTTTTTATGGAAAAGGCCTTTTTAAGTTTTTTTGTGTTTTTTTTTTCACTGTTTGGCATCTGTGTTTCATTCATAAATCTACCTAATAATAATATATTCACAGAAAACACACAACCTCATAATATAAAACATATAATATTGTTGTAAAATAATTTACAGCATTCAAGATGTTACAAGAAATTTGATTTCACAATTGGCTTTTTCTTGTGGAAAAAAAACATTTATATCCACATTATATGTCAAGTCAAGATAGTAAATTTTATATACATCATTAGTTCAATTCAATAGCTTCTTAAATAATACCCCCTTTCCTAATTATAATACTGTAGAATCATTTAAATTAGTGTGGGCCAATTTTCATGGATTTTGTCAATTTTACAGGTTCCCGGGAATGTAATTTTAAGTATTAATTCTCTGATATCTACAAAAGGAAACTTTATAACCTTTAGCTTTGTATAACTTTATTCTATTAATTTGTTGGAGGATGGAGAGATACCTCATTTATTCCACAAAAATTGAGCCATTATGAAATCTAATGATTCCACAAAAGTAGACCTCAAAATATTTCGTACCAAAAATAAATTATGTATAGGACAGATTGTTGTGTTTTGGGATTTTGGCAATTGGGTATTCAACTAAAGAAGCCCACAAATGCTTACATACATGTAGTCATGTACATTCTACAGATATAAGGTGTGACCAATGGATGGGCAGACAGCTAGACAGACAGACAAAGTTGGTAATTATAAAAGTGATCCCAAAGTTCAACTCTGCTCTGCAGGTCACACAAAAACCTTGAAAAGACCAACAATAAAAAATATAGATGCATTGTTTAGCAAATTTTAAGCTCATGCTAAAAAAATATAAATAACTAGTAATTTGTGATGGAAACTTGCAATGCATTAAGATCCTCAAAAAGAGCAAAGTCTAAAAACATTCAAGAAAGATGGAAAAAAATTAAAAGCGATATAAAAGGGGTGATTAATGTATTCTTTCAAACAATTCATTTTACTAATATGCAGAAAATTGTTGTCAGTGTGAAGTTGAAACCTTGTTATATGTTGATCACTTAATCAGAGGATCGCGGGGAAAACAGGCCGTATTTGTATTGATTTTTTAGACTTAGTCAGCCCCCGAACTCCCTTGAACAGACATGTGGCAGATGGCTAACTCATAGCTTATAAGTCTCTGCATTGACTAGTGTTTTGTTGGCTTAAAGAAAGATTTTTCTAACAAAGTTGAAGTTGACTTGGCATTTCAGGTAAATGTTACATTAATTTATATATTTTTATTAGAGTTCATGAATATCTTATCTCAGATGTCATAATAATTCTTTTTTCGTTTGAAGCTTTGACCAGACTGACAGCTTCGTGTTTATGATAGGAGGATATAATTTATTTTATTAGTGATGATTACTTGGTCTCTTAGATCTTATTTGTTTCCATGGTGATTAACAATACTTCACGGTGACAGAATTATATGACAATAAGGTTACTGTGTTTTACTCTGGATCCTTCTAAGTCAGAGATCAGGTAATCTACTCCTTCTAGACATGTGTCCTTTTTTAATATATGTATATGCAAAAAAGGAAAAAAATGCACAGTAAATATTTCAGAAATTATACTTCTTTTTTTTTTTTTTTTGGTCAGTTGTTGAGTTCATTGATTTTATTGTGGTATTGAGCAGAGAGAAAGAAATGGAGGGGGAACCTGGTATTAGATTCTGTTTCATGTGTATTGTATATTAACTGGTACCAAAATAATTTTCTTCTTTAGATAAAAAAAGAACTTTCATACTTTTGGCCCCAAATAAATAATAAATCATCAAATTAGTCATTTTACTGCTGCAATATTCAGAGCTGTGCAGTCCAGCATTAGTTCTGAAGTTCTGGTGACACATGAATTGTGCAGATACAAAGTCTGCACATTTATGTATTTAATAGTAACCCAGGAATGCCTGTGATGTAATGCTTTTGTATATATAGAAAAAGTGATTTATCAATAGTACTGGTATTTGAGAGTTGATAAACCCATCAATTATTCTAATCAGGTGAAAACCAGCTTAGCTAAGGTTTTGTCCTCTGTATTTAATACCCACAGACAAATGTCACTGTTTACTGGTTAGGCAATATAAAGGAGCAATATTTATTTATCCCAGAGAATCCAAAAAATATAAGCAATTTTAATTACCTTTAATATTTTACTCACAAAACCTTCTCTCTCAGCTGTTTATTTCATATTCATCATTTTATGTAGAATACTTCCATCACACAAGTCTTGAAAATATGTCATCAAATACAGATTTCAAACTGATAAATTGAATACTGTAGAAGTACTTTTTTCCGCGTGGTATTAATTTACGCTTTGTACGTGGTCATAAATTTTCCGCGGAAATTTGTCCAAGCGTACTTAATATAAATGTAAGTCATATAGTGACAATCTAGAAAATCCGCATTATTTTTTACCTGCGGATTAAACAGAAATTGAGATTCTGCGGAATTATGATCCCGTGGAAAAAAGTACGTCTACAGTAATTGAAAATAATTACCCATATGGGATAAATGTTAGTTTACAGTAAGTAACAGATGCTAAAATTAAATTCATATAAACTTTATGTTTTGGTCAGATGGTTGTCTGGAACCACATATGAATTATGTAATTATCTCCCTTTTATGCTGGACCATAAGTATTTCTTGTTTGAGTTCCATTTACAGATATTGATAAAACTTACAAACTTAAGTTGGAAGAGGGAAGGGGCTCAAAAAAAGATGAATTAATGAGAGAAAAAAAGCATGTTAAAATTTGTGGTAATTAATTGGGTAAAAAACTGCATGTTCATAGTCTGCGTAAAATACTTGTTTATGCGTAGGGATGCTTGTTAATTTTGTTTATTAGTGGCAGGAAATTAAAAGGCAATCTAATTGAATGGACTACCAAAACATCTGAGACTTCTGGGAATTTAGTCAGTGCATTTGATGCTGCATTCCAATAAGTTAGAGTAATTTTTTATTGCTCACTGCAGTATTGTGAATTTCCCAGAGTAGAGCATGACATAGAAGATTGAATAGGATGTAGTTATATTATTTAATTAACAGAGTTAGTGTGACAAAGGCTATGCTGGAATTTATTCATCCTTTTAATTCTGAAAGCAGAATGTCATCTGTTTAGAACTGTTCCACAACTGTAAATATTAACTTGCTGTTAAAGCTGGTATAAGTGAATGGATCAACAGAGAATATATAGGTCCAGGGTCAAACCTTTTTATCTTGAACTGGATAGGACTGCAAAAGGTTACACATAAATTTTTAAAGATATTGGAGGATTCGAGATATCCAGAGTAAAACACGTACCAGCTTCAAATTTTAAAAAGTGGTTCAACCATAAATTAAATGTGTATTTTGGACTTCTATTTTTTTTTCTCTGTGATAACTCTTTAAAAGTTAAGGTGAGTTGATTTCTTGATAATTCAGCCGGAATGTAAATTTCACCAAGTGAAAGGTCAGGAGTTAAGGAGGCCTAATATGCATGTAAATTTCATGCGTCTGTCTTTGTGGCTGACGTCAATGGGTGCGGACTATTGAAATTGACATGGGAGGGCTTGTATAATTTTAAAATCTATCAGACATCATTTTTTAAATCTAGATTTACAATTTTACTTCACAATGAAATGTTATTATAAGGAATCACTGTCTACATTGTTGGGTATATGCCAGGGATATCAACTATAGTTGGAAACGTGATTCCTTAAATAATTCATTAAAAAGTCTTGGTTAGTCTATGTTCTTTAACATGAAGACCCTAATTAAGATTTATATTTTTTCAGCCAAGTTTATAAAATAGTTAAAGTGTTTATATACCTCAGTAGTACATGTATAAGTCCGCTCTATTACAGTTCTAATCCAAACAGGTGTGGTCTTACAAATTACAGCATAAGACAAATCTTCTGCTGCACAGTAATGCACTGGCTATAGCCCTCTTATCAGCTTTATTCATTGATAAAAATCTTTTAATACTGGTATACATGTATTTGGTTTTAAGGATCTTGCAGTAAATGTAATTTTTTTTTATTTTATTTTTTACAGGCTGTTAAAGCTGCTGGTGTTGCCTCTAAAAAGACTAAAGAGTTTGGACAGTCAGTTAATGAATCGGTTATAAAACCTACTAAGGAAAAGGTAAGCTTACACTTTAATAGAAGCTTATTTTCTGCACATTGTATAGATTTTTTTTTGTCAACTTTTTTCTTATGTTCAGGGGTACCCTTAAGGTGTTCTTTTTCAATAAATTTAGGTCTTATTTAGTGAGTTTCATAATTTGAGGGATATATTTGATGTATTTGTAGATTTCAGTTACTTTATAATTTATTTCAATTTTTTAAAAACCTTATTTTAAGGGTTGTCCATTAAATGTATGGATGTTGATTAATATTGTAATGTAGGTTAAAGAAGGTAAAATTCTGGATGATGTTTCAACATCTATGTCCAGTTTTGCCAATAGAGTAAGTATGTCACGTATTTGATTTTACCGAGTTATTGTTTGATATTTATTGTACCTTTGTAGCCTCTTTGATTTCCTGCTTTTAGACCATCTGTTGCACATTTGCCTTTTAATATTCTTGTTCATACGTAACGCCTTCTCCTTGTGCTAACTTGACTAAGACATAGTATTATGCTAGGTTTTATGCTACTGTGAAATCATTTTAATTCATGGGGATCAATGTTTGAGGGCATGCAAGCAAAATTTTACTTGTTCATTTTGTTCGTTGGGAAGTTATTTTTGGGGTTACTTGTTTTTACAGTAGATTCAATGATGAATCAATATGTAATTTATAAAACAATTTTTTACGAGAATGTAAATTTCATGGGTAAGGTGACCAACGAAATCCACGAACATTGGTCCCTCTCAAACAGTCATGCTTCCCTATTAACCTGTAACTGAATTAGTAAAGATCTATAAATATTAGTTCCTAACTGATGATATCAGGAAGGGGGCTGGCTATAGGTTTTACGTTCAGTATAACTGTCCATCAATTTACCCTTTCAGTTTAGAGACTATAGCTTGAGATTCAGTCTGTTGTATATAAAAGGAATTGCAGTAAAGGCTTGAGTCTTCATGGGATTTTGGAATTAATTAACTGTGTATCAAAGAGGATTATAAACATTTTTTTTATTATTAAACATTGAAATATTGGATAGGAATTTGTTACACTGATATACACAAGTGTACTTATTATTAGTAGAGGTGTAGATTAATTAAGGTATCTGCATGATGCATAACAAGCAGTTTTTTGAAAAGTAAATCAAGGAAAATATATAGATATTCCATAGTCAGAATTAATAAAGAAACCCTACCAAGAGGGATTTTTTTAAATTATCTCAAGATATATGGATAGATCTTGTATGTCTTAATTAATTTAACATAGAAGGGTATGCTCGAAGTATCATTTTCATAAATTAAAAAACAAAAAGATTGCATGAAGTTAAATTTGGAGATAATTAAAGCATAAAAAAAAAAATTCTGTACATGTAAAAAATACATAGGTCACAATGAAAATGTAAGAGAAATTAATATCCTATGAAATATTAGACAAAAATTTCATACACTGGCTGGAATTACTGACTTGGTTCTTTCTTCTAAATATCACAAATCTACTTGCAGAAAGAAACGGGCCTACATGCTGAACTGCATTCATTATTGTAGAAGAACTTGTGATGAAATAATTTTACCTGAACTTACGTAAAGTGCATCTTTATGTACCCTCACATCTTAAATCAATTTTTGTTACTTTAGATTCATCGATTTTAGCTTTAAACAGCTAAATTTTAGGAGCAGGTCCATGCCCACTTGCTATAGGGTACTTTGCTACATCTGAAGATGCATTCTATATACCTTACCTTAGATTAATTGAACAAGTGATATGTATTTTTAGATATTTCATAAGAAATCCTAGAAAATGACTTCAGATACACCGGTAATTAATGGGTTTCATTTGACATTTATTTTTATGAATCTTCTCCATAATTATAGATAACATTATTATATGTGGGCTTTGTGATCTTTCATGACCTGTATGATTCTCTGTTTTTGCAGATCATTTTAATGAGTATTAGAAGATATCTACATGTATATTCTAAACAGAAATCAATATATATCTTGATTCAAAGATAGCATGAAAATTTTCTTGATTAGGTTTCACAAGCTAGTTCAATTGTTTCTTTTTTTATTAAGAGACAGGACATAAAAATTGGAACATGAAAATAAGTTATTGATTTTTTGGAGACAAAAAATTAATGCAAGTTTTCTGGCTGCAGACATGAAAACATCATGGGTGATGTGAGTCATTAGTGGTACATTAGACTAGTAGGCTCTAGTTGGTTACAAACATTCAGTGATCATTTTTCTTGAACGTTTTAGGTTAAAGAAGGTACCTTAATAAACGACGTTGGGACGTCCATGAGTGGGTTTGCAGCAAAGGTTAGTGTTTACATTTTACACAGATAAATTCAGTCAGTTTATACTTTGAAAGCATTAAAAGAAAGATAAAATTAAAAAAAATATGATTTCAGTACCGTAATTTTGCAAATTCGGGTCAAAATGCTGTTGATTAATTTTTACGTTTCAAAATTTTGTGAATGACCACTGCTTTGTTTACATTTACTTATTGGTAATTTATTTTTAAGAAAAATATTTTTGCGAATGCAATGAACTCGCAAATTTGCTAAAAATTTATCTACAGCAAAAATTTACAGATTTACGGTACTGTTTTTTTTTTGTCAGAATGTGTACTGAATTTTAAATTAAAACAATTGACTTATTAAATTTAGATTTTTAATGGATTTTTTTAAAGCATAAAATGAAGTGCATGTATGTATACCAAAATTTGGTTATGATGATTTTCTTTTAGATCAGCTCAAAGGGGTGGAGCAATTTTTCCTTGTGGGGTGATGCTAAATCCCCAACAGGAGGCCCTGGAGAGAAGTCCTCACTACTCAAGGATAAATCATCAAGCAATGAGTAAGTTAGAGGACCTTTTGTGAAGCATTAATGACAGTTATACTGCAGTGTAGTAAAATAGGCTTGTACAGGGATGAACAATTTTGATTTGTTGTAAAACTATTTTGCTTTTTGAATTCAGTTTATAATACATTTTTAAATCATAAGAAATGAAAAGTACTTCATTGTAAGCATAAATTCATTATAAGTATTTCCCTATAACTGGGTTTTACTGCAATCTTTTCAAGAGATTTTGCAATAAATATCTCTGAAGCTGTTTGAAAACATGTTTTACTCAAGACTTAACTAATAATTATTTACAACATACCCAGTATTTGGATTTCTTTTTTTTTTTCATGGAAGTATTTTAAACTAAGGAGCAATATCTTATTCATGACAATATGTTGATCAGTGTCTTTGTTTATTGATGATTTTAGTGACCCCAGTGAGAACAGTCTGTTAGACAATGAGGAGGAGGATTCCTGGGGAGGCTGGGAGGAACAGAACTCCTGGCAGAACAACAAGGAACCTCAAACCAAGAAGAAAAACAAACCCCAGAAACTCAGCGAGGAGGATGAATTCGAGGCCTGGTTAAACGACGACCAGCCTCTGCAATCCTCGAAAACAAAATCAAAAAGTAAAGATGGCTGGGACGATTGGGGTGAAGACAAGACAGACAAAAAGTCGAAAAAATCGGACAAAAATGTGAAAAAGGGGGGAGAGAAATCATCGGGAGGGGATGGATGGAGTGATGTGAACTGGGAGTCAGACTTTTCCTCCCCTCAGAAACAGAAGGAGCCCCTGGTGGGGAACCTGCTGGACTTTGGTGAGGGGGAGACGGGGGGCACCAGCTCGGGGTGGGACAATGAAGTGTGGGCGGCGGAGGAGGAGAATGAGGAGGATTGGCAGAGTCTAGAGGAGAGCTCCAAGTTAAAATGATCTCCGTCGTAGATTTAGGATTTTATGTAATGTTCTCTGTGCCAGTATTGTAACGATTTAAAACACTATCTCAGCATCATCAAGGGGAATTCACATTATCCTGTACATCTTATGTGTCATATTGTGTGCATTGTATTAGGATCTTGTGAGTTGTTTGTCCTCATTATAAAGTACCATGTGCTTTTGCAGTATGTAAAGTCTGCCTGTGAATATGCTTTTTAAGGGACTATATTTCTATTAACTTTGTACTGAATAAGACCTGATATTTAAGAGGTACATGTAAATAAATAAAAATCCACATTACAATCAGTATGCCTGGAAGCATACTTTGTCTGTTGATATATTTATGAATTTCATGCATATAAACGTACATATACAATTTGTTGCCCCAAATCTCCACTTAAATCATTTTATTGTCATTTTAATGCAGAATGGCAAAATGTATATGATGTGTACGGGGTTTCAGAGAAGACAACTGTGCAATAATTAAGATTATTTGTGATAAAAATTATATTTATCAAATGAACGAAGTGTGAATGTGCGATGGACTTTAATTTGTTGTTGAAAGGAATAGGTAAAGAATTTGGAGAAAATTAATTGTTACAGAATTGATGATAAGTTAAAATTTATATGATGTTATGATTAGTCATTTAGACATAATTCTTAATGTATATTCATATTCAGAAAGTAATATCTAAGTATTTAGTAATCTTTCATAATTTTCAAATTTTAAAAACTTGATGAAAAGTATTACATTAATGCATGTGGGTACTTCTTTTTAAAATAGTCAGATAATTTTAAAAGAATTTCTACAATTCTTGCTGAGTTACAGCTGATATACATGTACTACAGAATTAATGAAGTCTAATATTATTTTAGTTTAGCATGTTTGCTTTGTTAAAATTCAGATTTTCTTGTTCTGAAGCTGTAATGTGATGAATCATAGGCAACTTTCTAATTTTGGGTTACCAAAAATAAATTTTGAATCAGATGAGTTACAGTGTCTGTAAAAAGCTGAGTTTTTTAAAAGAAAATTATTTTCAACAAATCTTACATTTAGCATTCATTTTGGTGCATAGATTTGTTGTACAAGGGGCCATTTTCTTTTGATGTTTGTGACAAAGAAGGCTGTATAAAAACAAAAATTTAAATGAAATAAATATTTTGAAAATTTTAACAGGTGTCAGCTTGCATTCATAAATCGACAGAAGTTCTAGGCAAAATTTGTACTGAAAAAGCATAATTATAAATGAAATTATATAATATTGCCCCCCAAAAATGTATATAAATTTGTAACAATAATCAGAAATGTGAGGGAGAAGGTGATTCAGATAAGTAAAACAAAGTTCACTTGGACGATGTTCTAATTCCAGAAAAAAGAAATTTTTCTTGTATATTACGATGTAAAACTTTGATCCCCTTTTGTGGCCCAACGCAGCATTGTTAAGGCTTGAAAAAGGGGGCGGGGCCTAATTTACACGGGAAAAGTTAACTGTGACGTCACACAAAAATATGACTTTTATGTATTTCTCATAATACCTGAAAATGAAATAATTTGCAACTTTTAACTTTATTGGCATAATAAACATCAATATAACTTATCAATGCATTAAAAAAAGTTGCTAGTTATATCCCATGTAGCTGGTTATAAACAAAGCACTGATCGCAATAAACTTGTAAACATGATGTCATATTGGTAAAAATGACGTATTTCAAGTGCTGTGAGAGGCAGATTGGGGAATTATTTCACAATGGAAAATGCATTTTATTATTAAACGGAATATTATTTACAGGTTTTAATTAGTCGATTAATGCCAATCTATACCTTTTGTTTAGTGCGATTATTAATCAACTACCAAGTGAATGTATTTTATTAATTATGTCATGTCATGTTTTATGTACAGGTAACGCATATTTTACATCGAGATGCCTCATAAAATCGTACTTTCGCAAGGGCATACACTGCATAGATCTGAACAATTTTTGGAATATAGATAAAGGATATTTTCCTTAACTTGAAAAGTGCTGCTGCTTTCTTTAATTCGAAGGCGTGATTTTATAAATACACAAAATATTACTGGTAGGTAAAAGTCAAACATATTTCGACATTGGCCTATTTACTTGAAAATTTAACCATTAAAACACGAATTCTATTCAAAGCAGCAGCACTTTTCAGAAACTACAAAGTATGCAGAAACAATTAATAGCTTGAATTTTAATTTCAACTAGGGTATGCCCTTGGGATATTGAAATTTGTTAATGACCTACATTCAGTACACGAACTATGCATTCATCACGTGACTGTCCATCGATGGGACTTTAAACTTCATACAGTACAGAGTGGGTTATACTATGCTATTTCCATAAGTATTAAAGTTCTGTGATAATAAAACAGCTTAATTTAAATAAATCAATTCTTAAAAAATCCCCTTTTTTTTGCACGTCTATTTTCCGTTGATTTCTCATAGTAGGCCTTAACAGTGCTGCGAACTTTATACCTCCTGGGTCATGATTTGAACAGACTTTAATATCCTCGCTTGAGAAGAGGATTTTCAAAGATTTTTCTTGTATTCTGTTTTAAAATTTTGATTTCCCATTGTGCCTCCTCCCCTTAACCCCAGGGATTATGATTTGAACAAATTCTTCACTATGAAAAGAAATTCTTTTCTTCTTAAGGGTTGCAACTTTATTGCCACAGTGGTTTTTAAAAGATTTTTAGGTCACCTGAGCTGAACGCTCAAGTGAGCTTTTCTGATCACCCATTGTCCATCCGTCGTCTGTCTGTCTGTAAACTTCACATTTTCAACTTATTCTCAAGAACCACTGGGCCAATTTTAACTAAACTTGGTACATCAGCATCCTTTGGTGATGGGGAGTTTGAATTGTCCAAATGAAGGACAAAGTTTAATTACAAAAGATAATCAAGAAAGACAAAAATCAGGGGAGGTGTTTCAAATATCTTCTTTTAAGAACCGCTTGGCCAGAAAAGCTGAAACTTATGAATATGGAAGTATGATGGGGAAATATAGATTCTAAATTATTAAAATCATGACCCCCAGGGTTAGGGTGGGGAAACAGTAGAGAATCACAGTTTTGTATAGAAATGAATTGAAAAAATCTTTATAAATCTTTTCAAGAACCACTGGGCCAGAAAAGCTGAAACTTGTGGAAGCAACTTGGGGTACTGTAGTATCTAAATTGTTCAAATCATGACCTCCAGGGGGTTGGGCGGGGCCACAATAGGGAATCCAAATTTTACATAGAAATATATAGGAAAAATCTTTAGAAATGTTCTTCTCAAGAACCACTGGGCCAGAAAAGTTGAAACTTTTGTGGAAGCATCCTGGGGAAATGTAAATTCTAAATTGTTAGAATCATGACCCCTGGGGTTAAGGGCGGGGCCACAGTAGGGAATCCAAGTTTCACATAGAAATATATAAGAAAAATCTTTAGAAATTATTTTCTCAAGAACCACTGGGCCAGAAAACCTGGAACTTTTTTACATTGGAAACAATTTACATTGACAAGATGAGAGAAAACATGTTCTTTACCTTGTCAAGAGAAAATGTCTAGGTCAGTGCGAATCCCCTTCCAGCCTCGAATGCCCGCCTGATCATGGTACTACTGGTAGTGGGTGTGGCACTGGCCAGACCAAAAGGATTGGGGAACTTCAACCCACACATTTCTACACTCACGTCCACCTTATCAATGGGGATGAAGAACTTGGGCAGAGATGGAGTGGACGGAATTGAATGTAGTGCCTATAAAAATAATGGAGTCATCTGTGCTGTGTTTTACCACAGGATTTCCTAAATGATTATATCTTCACTTTATTTCATTCCATTTTTCCTTTTTAAACTTTTAAACCAAACGTGATGCTTTTTTAAATCTTGGATAGACATAATTGTCATCAGCTACCCATGGGATATTTAAATCTATTTTTACAAACCAGGAAGTTAATCACAAATCTCGTTTAAATCTTGTGGAAAATTTCAAGAGAACATTCCAAATTCTTTCATACACTTGGTCATTCATGGCATTGTAAGTTGATCTACAACCATTTTTTCAAATGATTAAGAAATGATCAAAACAGCATATCTGATTAAGTTATCGGTGTTTTAAGATATTTGTTATATTCTTGCCAGCATTCCAGGCTGGCACTCTGTTATCAAAAGTTTTTTTTATTGCAACTTGCCTAAACATGCTTATCTATTTTATATTGTCACTTGATTTGAATGATTTCATTGGTTTTATTAACTGCTATTTAAAGTTTCTTTGAATAATTTCAGATGGCAGAGTCCAAACCAAGAATACCAGGCACAGCCCAGCACTTTTTAGAGTGTGGAATTCAAGACTGTGAGAGAAACTGTGAATTTTACTGCAATCCTTGCCACCAACCGATGTGTAAACAATGTAGAGATGAACATCTGAAAAATCCAAAAACAAAAAACCATGAAGTGGTCCTATACCAATTACGAAAACGTCAACTTCCTGTGAAGAAATGTGAGATCCACCCCACCAAGGATGTAGATCTTCTCTGTGAAGAATGTAAAATCCCTTTATGTTCCAAGTGTGCTGCCACTCCAGAACACAGAGGCCATGCCTTTACCGATTTAGAGACTATCTATGCTGAGAAGTTCTCATTCTGTCTAGAGGAAATTACCAAACTGCGGGAGTATTTTCTGCCAACATCACAAGACATACAAAAAGAAATTAATGGAGATGCCATAGAAATCAAGAAGGCAATGGACAACATAAGAACATCCATGAAGGCTGAAGCCGAGTCTCTAAAACGTCTGGTGGATAAAGTGCAATCAGAGAACATGACACAACTAGACCAAATAGAGCACTCACTGCTAAAAGATTTAAAAATCCAAGAAAAAACATTTGATGAATACACCAAACATCTCAACAACCTAATTAAGGAGTTCCAGGATTTCCTCTCCTCACCAGATCCCACAAAATTAACTCTGACACTCTCTTTGGTGGATATGAAAATCCAACCACTACCAGAGACAACAAAACCAGTAACACCAGTATTTACTGCCGGTCAACACAGCAAAGAAGATGTTACCAAATTACTGGGTAAAATAAGTATTCCAGAGATAAAACCAGAAACAAGGAAAATAAAGCCAATGGAAGTTCCATCTCTCCCAACACCAACGAAACCTACAAGCATAGAGTTGAAATCTGACAAAGGAAAATCTAATGTGAAACAGACATTGTCTCTGTCTTCCTCTATCACGAATTTCAGGGAGTTCAAAGTACAAGGTGTTAACAAAGTGTGGCACATATCACTAGATCAGTCAGGCAGACTCTGGGTCAGTGATAGTTATGGTAACCTTGTCCAAACAGATCTACAGGGGAATCTATTACAGAAGATACAAACCAGTGGTGGACGTGGTTACCACACAATGACACAGGAGGGGGATCTGATCTTTACAGACATGGACAAGGGTGTCATCAATAGGATTACACTGGATAACAATATTACTGAATTCATTACAACAGGAGACTGTATACCAATCAGCATACACTCCTCCAACATAAATGGGGACTTACTGGTGGGGTTGGTGAAGAGAGGAGAGGTTAAAGTCACCAGGTACGACAAGACAGGGAAAGAACTACAGAACATACAGAAGGATAACAAAGGACAGGAACTGTATGGTATGCCACGCTACATAACAGAAAACATCAATGGAGATATCTGTACATCAGACTTTAATAATAAGGCAGTAGTGGTGGTGAATATTTCTGGACAACACAGATTCTCCTACACAGGTCAGAGGCCAGGGTTCACTCCCTATGGAATCTGTACTGATGTCCTCGGTCACATACTGGTATGTGATTATAACAGGGTTCACATTCTTGATCAAGATGGTCAGTTCTTATCTCTACTAATCACACCAGAAACAGGGATTAGTCCAACTTGTGTATGTGTGGATGATGAGAACAATCTTTATGTGGGAGCTATCGATGCAAAAGTTAAAGTATACAAGTATATTCAGTGATTCTTATTCTTTAATCTAACAATGTGCATATCATCATTTACACTAGCAATTAACAGAATTATTTGTACATTTATTACAGATATATAATTTTGCTCATCTTGTGATGCAACAAAATAATCAAATTTATGTAAGTTTAAGTCTAATAGATAACTATCGTGTATTGTAAGATTGGATCACCAGAGGTACATGTCAAATTTCCTGTTACTTATAATTTTTCGAATACAAACCTTTGCTTTGTAGATAGATTGTTTATTTTAATTAGTATATATATATGTAAATGAAATATTTCTATTCATATTTTTTTTTAAATTGTCATCATATTTATTTGAATTGTGCAGCCAATGTATCGAAATTGCTGTTCAAACTGTTTGATTCGGTGCACTAGCTAATATCCAGGATTTGGTTCGGTTCAGTTCAAAATTTACATAACAAGTACCGAAATAACCAGGAGAATAGAAAAACCGTTAAAGTGGATCATATAGTTAAACAAAGGAATATAAAGGCTTTATCAATGAATAAAAATTCATCTAATAAACAGCAAAGCCATTATGTATCATATTACTTTAAAAGCATCCATAGGAAGTATACATTTAATTTTGTTCACACACCCCCACCCCTTGAACCCACTTTATATTTAGACTGTTCAATACTACTCTGATTTTTGCTTTCACCTAACCAGCTACTCAGGTGAGTGATGTGGCCCCTGGGCCTCTTGTTGTGTGGTCATGATTTGAACAAATTTAAATTAACATTACATTTTTCAATGCTTTTATGTTGATGATCTTTCATGGCTTTGTTGTTCTTGTGAAGAATTTCAAAGATTTTTACCTTGTATTCCTACGTAAAACCTTGATCACCCTCTTGCCCCAATGTATCCTCGGGAGTCGTGATTTGAACAAACTTGAATCTACACTACAAGAGGATGCTTCCATATAAAAATGAACAGTTTTGCTGTTCTCGAGAAGAAACATTTTCTCTAAGGCCATTTCAAGTTTTTTTTTCTATGTTTAGCATCCGCGTGCGCCTTGGTTTCTGACACCCCATGTCAGAAAAAAAAAACAGAATCAGTAGTCCGAAAATTGATTATTCTGGTCAAAATTTGTGATTTACTTCTGCCAATGTCTCTAAATTAATATTTGTAAATTAAATATAACATGTCATATTTGGAATATGAAGTATTTAATTAAATACCTAGAATTCACTGAAGAAAATATCTTTCTACATGAAAAAATAGATTATATAAAATCATATTTCATGAATTACGTAATTTTTAATGCTATAAAACCTATGTTTTAATATTTTGATTTTTGCATTTTTTGCGAATAGGTACATGTGTAGTTAGGTTTTTGAAAGATGGGTGGACACTAATCAGAGAAAAAACTTGGAATGGCCTAATCCTTTTTAAAACTTTGATTACCCATTTGGGCCCTATTCTTGCCCTCCTCCTCCTCCCCCCCCCCCCCCCCGGTCATGATTTGAACAAACTTGAATCTACACTACAAGAGAATGCTTCAAATAGCTTTGCTGTTCTTGAGAAGAAAAATTTTAAAGATTCTTCTTATGGATTCCTATGGTAAACTTTGATTCCCCATTGTGGCCAAACCTAACCCACTGGGGTCATGATTTGAACAAACTTGAATATACACTACCTGAATATGCTTTCATACATGCCTTTGTTGTTCTTTAGATGATTTTTAAAGATTGTTCATATTTTTTTACTATATTAAAATTTGATATCTTATTGTGACCCCACCCCCTGGGGATCATGACTTAAACAAACATGAATCTACACTAACAGAGGATGCTTCCACACGAGTTTCATCTTTCCTGGTCTAGTGTTCTTGAGAGGAAGAGTCATGAAGAGATCATGATTTGAACATATTTGAATCTACATCAAGCACGTAGCAACGGGGGGGGGGGGGGGGGGCTACCCCCACTTTTTCCCAACATTCCCTTTACTACTGAAAATGTTCATCGAAAGGTTGGTTGCCCAGCCCCCCCCCCCCCTTCTTACCACAGTAAAGTGATATCAAGGAAATGTAGTATTTCCTGAAAGCTGAAGCACAACCATTCTGAAAGTGTGGCCAAGTCTTATGTTTTATTACATGTTGGTCAAAAAATTTTGTCTTGAAGCATGCCATACTCTTAGTATCATAATGTAAAAGATGAAAATAACAAATAGGATGTGATCAATCTTTTTATCCAGTTAACGAAGCGAATAACGACCAGGAAATAAACCTGATCTTAGGAAACGCCAGATGTTAGATCAGGAGACTGAGAGGAGTAAGCATCCCTCTTTCGACAGGTCGCACCTGCTTTGAGTCTAATGTATTGATCGTGTAGACAGAGGAGTACACCGTAACTAAATTTAGTATAAAAAGTAGTTTGAAATATGTCAGACAAAAGAGGATCCAACGACAGATTTATTTACGACCAAGGTCTTTATAACGACTATATAGACTTTGTGAAAAGTTGACTGTAAACGGGGTTGATGAAATCTGCATCATCAACTTATTTATCTGTACCTTGCATCGGTTTATAAGCGATCTCCATACATGCACACATTATCCCATGTTTCCACTTATTTGTAATGTTCTGGGATATGATATACACAACGAACTAGACAATTGATCCTTATATATTAATGCCGGTATTTATGTGTAACATAGAAATGTAACTAAATATGAAATCTGGGAATATCCGGGAAATTGACATGCTAAGGCCCTTTATCTTTCACATTTTGTTGTTAAACACTTCACTTTCAAAGAGTATTCATAGAGAAAACCGTTGAAAGTGAAATAGATAATCAACCTTTTCGTTGTTATTTCTCAATATTATACATTTATTGACTGAGTTCGAGGGCAACATTAGTTTTGTCGGACCCAAGAATCAAACTGTCTGCCTGAGCCCGTTAGGCCGAAGGCAGACAGTTTGGTTCGAGGGTCCGACAAAACGCATTTTGCCCGAGAACTCTGTCAATAAATGTTTTATTATACCTTTCATTTTATTTTATTTTTTTGACATACATGTATTTTGTACTGTATTCCGTGATGTAACATCAGGTCTGTTACTGTTTAACACCAACGAATGAAAATGAGATTAAGCTCCGCCCATTCTGTGACGTAAGCGGTCCAACATCTCTCCGAGCGGTCCAACATCTCGCTCAGCGGTCCAACATCGATTCTTTTATGCCCGCTCAGCAAAACATTAAAAATATTAGACTTTTTCTCGTATAGATTTATATAGGAACAAATTTTTAAAGGTATAACAATTTACATTTCACTGAATCTAGTCAAGGAGCTATTCTATAGTCAAGGAGCTATTCAACATCCAAAATGTTACTTATAATACTGTTTTTTGTGTTTGAACGAGAAGAGGGTTTTCATTGAATGCCTGACGTTCTTTTACCTTTTAATTTTTTATGTACAAATGTTTACTGGGTTGTTGCACATTTCTCAAATTTTGTCTTACTTCCTTAAAATTTGAAATTTATAACAAGGAAATATTGAATAATGCACAAAATTACATTGTTTGTCAGATAACCGCTCTTTTATTTTAATATTCAGAAGGAAATGGTCATATCTGAATCCTTTTCAGTGACTGTTAAATATATTGTATCACATTTAAGCAATAAAAAATGGAAAAAGATTTTATAAAGCTTTTCCCACCGTTGCACAATGTTTGACACCCGCTTTTGAATAGAGTTGACTTATTGCACGCAATGTATGTATAAAACTTGACGTGTTATTTCGGCTGCAGATGTAAGATTAAATTTCTCCCTTCGGTTAAAGGTATACCCAAAAACTAGTCACGCAAAAACACAAAAGGGTTTTGATACAGACTTTGACTTTCTCTTAATTTTTCACCATTACCAATTTACACAAGCAAACGTTACCTTGTTCAGCTTGTAAATATGGCGAGAGAACATTTTCTGTCCTATTCTTTCATCCTTGGACTCCTTTTGGTATTTAATGGAGCTGAAGGGCTTCATTTGAGGGTAAGTAGAACCAGTTCTAGGCTACTATTATATTTTGTCTTAAAAAAATGTGTGGTTAATAATGCCAATGAAAATCAAGTTAAGGTACTGGGAATAATGTAAGGAATATTCTATCCTCTGCCAAATTCCATTCACTTTTCCTACTGGTCTGTGTTGTGTTTGAGCTGTGATGTATGTGCCTTTTCTCTTACATTGAATTTCTTTCTTTGTATAGGGGAGGTACGATGGACTTCAAGAAAGAACGTATCGTACGTATTTTCTCGACAAATTAATTTTTTTATGTTCTGTCTTTCTACATATCCATCTTTAGGTTAACTTACTTAATTCTTCTTGAAAAATGGGGGCCATAATCTGTGTAAAAATACTGTATTTAACGTTGCCTATTTATTGAATATTGTTTATCCACTCCTCATGCACGGATTTAGAGGGGGGTCGTGGGGATGGGGGTGTTCCGCCCCCCCCCCCCCCTAGAATTTGCAGAGTTACTACATTTATCTTGGATATGGTTAAGTTGGTATGAAAAGTCATAGGTATGAATAGGTATGAAGAAGATTTGGAAGTCAACGACTACCATCCCCCACCCGAAATAGGATTTCCACGCTTTGGTCAGATAAAATTGTTTTTGGCTTGTCAACAAATCTCTGGGTTGGATGTTTTTTTTCACTGGAGTGGACCCCCCTGTCTGGAAAAACTTCCTTGATCCGCGCCTGACTCCTGGTATTGTAAGGAGTGTATACATATATACAGCCTATTTTTTTCCGTTTTTAGAACCAGGGAAGGAGTCCAGTCAGCCATCATTAGAGGACTTCCTACGACTAGTTTCTCGTGAAACCGAAAAACACAATGACAAACAAAAATGGCGAAATCTGAGAATCCTTGGGGAACAAGAAAGGGAATTTGAGAAAAACGATGACAACGATGACGTATTCGACGAAAATTTAGAAGATAACAACGATGAAATCCCTGAACTGGATGTAAGACACTTTAGACACCAAGATATGGAGAATGAGAATGATGACTGGGAGAAAAAATCTGGGGAAGTAGGAAATAAAAGCAAGAGAAATGACAACGACGATGGTAAGGAAGACGATGACGACAATGAGGATGACAAGGAAGAGTTGGAGGAGGAAAAAGAAGAAGACAGTATAGATACGAAGAGGGAAATGACAGATAATAAAGGGAAAGGAAAGAAGAAGGCGGTGAAGGAAAATACCGAGGAAGTCAATGAAGAAGATAAAGAAAATGACGAGGAAAATGAAGGTGATGACGGCGATGACGATGGACATAAAGAGGTAGACCAAGGAGAAGGTGGATACAAAAGAAGAGGTAACGGAGATAATGCGAAACTGAAGCTCCTCGATGATTTGATTCGTGAGCTGAAGGCACCGGAACCAAGCCAAAGAGAAGATAAAGTGTGTGACGGCTACTGTCTGTAGTCGGACTGTCAGAGGAAACACATTATACGTTCACAACTTTTGCTTAGTCCTTAAAAATTCTAAGTTTTCTTTATTTTATCTCTCCTTTAATTGCTCCTCTTCTTTGTTTTATAGGAATTATACTTAAGATTTTCCTGCATTATACTGGCGTATTAAATTCAATTTTAATGTGAAGATCGTACTTAATTCAAAAGAATATCTGCACTTTCAAATGTTTGTATACCACTGTAGTTCATTGATTTTCATTAAATGTAGCTGAATTTCTTTTGTCATCATTTTTTTTTTACATAAAATATATTAAGGAAGGCAGATATATGCAATCAATTATATACAATTATGGCTTTTCTATCAAGTCCATCGTGTTTTATTTTCAATTTCAAATGAACCTTTTTTATAAAGCTTTCATACATCTGATTATGATTAAAAATGGCAAAATTTTATACTACATATCTTAAGGATAACCTAAATTAAATTATTTGAATTGAACATATTTGATTGAACAAAGTCAAAAGGATCGGACACAAGTTCAGTAAGTTAGATAGTCTTCTCCTAATACAACATTTTGTAAAATTGAATTACATGTATTTCGTTTTAATATTTTTTAATGCAAAAAAAAAAAATTCTACTTTTCTTCAGCATTAGGGGCATGAGCGTCGGAAGGAAATTGAAAGTGGGAAGGGGGGCTAACCGAAAGTGGGGGGTGGGGGCTAAACCAACAAAAAAGGTAAATCCCAATTTTCAATGCCTATATAATGTCTATTTTTGTAAAAATAGGGGGGGAGCCCCACGGTTCCGACGCCTATGAAAGATTAACAGTACTTTTCTGAAAGTGCAAGGATGTGTCAATCAAATGAGTCCCGAAATTTAGAATCTTCTTATGTGGAAGCATCCTGGGGTAGTGTATATTCTTAATTGTTCAAATCATGACCCCAAGGGGTAGTCCAGGGCCACAATAGGGAATCAAAATTTTACATAGAAATATATAGGAAAAAATCTTTAAAAATCTTCTTCGCAAGAACCAGTGGGCCAGGATAGCTGAAGCTTATGTGGAAGCATCCTGGGGTAGTGTATATTCTAAATTGTTAAAATCATGACCCCCAGGGATAGGGCGGGGTCATAATAGAGAATCCAAGTTTTACATAGAAATATATTAAAAAAATCTATAAAAATCTTCTCAAGAATGAGTGGGCAAGGATAGCTGAAACTTATGTGGAAGCATCCTGGGGTAGAGTAGATTCTAATTTGTAAAAATCATGACCCCAGGGGTAGGGCAGGGCCACAATGGGGAATCCAAGTTTTTACATAGAAATACCTGTATATAGGAAAAATATTTTTAAAAATATCTTCTTCTCAAAACCAGTGGGCCAGGAAAGCTGAAACTTATATGGAAGCATCCTGGGGTAGTGTATATTCTTAATTGTTCAAATCATGACCCCCAGGGGTAGGACAGGGCCACAATGGGGAATCCAAGTTTTACATAGAAATATATAGAAAAATATGTAAAAATCTTTTTCTCAAGAAAAAGTGGGCCAGGATAGCTGAAGCTTATGTGGAAGCATCCTGGGGTAGAATAGATTCTAAATTGTTAAATCATGACCCCCCAGGGGTAGGGCAGGGCCACAATGGGGAATCCAAGTTTTACATAGAAATATATAGGAAAAATCTTTAAAAATTTTCTTCTGAAGAATCAGCGGGCCAGGATAGCTGAAGCTTACGTGGAAGCATCCTGGGGTAGAGTAGATTCTTAATTGTTAAAAACATGACACCTGGGGGTAGGGCAGGGCCACAATAGGGAATCCAAGGTTTACATGGAAATACATAGGAAAAATCTTCTTCTCAAGAACTACTGGGCCATAAAAGCTGACACTTATGTGGAAGCATCCTAGGGTAGTGTAGATTTTAAATTGTTAAATTGTTAAAATCATGACCCCCAGGGGTAGGGTGCGGCCACAATAGGGAATCCAAGTTTTATACAGAAATACATAGGAAAAATCTTCTTCTCAAGAACTAACGGGCCATAAAAGCTGGCACTTATGTGGAAGCATCCTGGGGTAGTGTAGATTCTAAATTGTTAAAATCATGACCCGGTAGGGCAGGGCCACAATAGGGAATCCAAGTTTTACATAGAAATTTATAGGACAAATCTTCTTCTCAAGAACTACTGGGCCATAAAAGCTGACACTTATGTAGAAGCATCCTGGGGTAGTATAGATTCTAAATTGTTAAATTGTTAAAAACATGACCCCCCGGGATAGGGCGGGGCCAAGATAGGGAATCCAAGTTTTATATAGAAATATAAAGGAAAAATTTTCTTCTCAAGAACCAGTGGGCCAGGAAAGCTGAAACTTTGGTGGAAACATCTTGGGGTAGTGTAGATTCTAAATTGTTCAAATCATGACCCCGTAATGGGGGAGGGTTAGAGGGCCACAATAGATATCAAAGAAGAGGGTAAATCTGGTAAAGAACTGCTTCACCAAAGTTACTCAAGTGAGCGATGTGGCCCATGGGCCTCTTGTTTTTCTACTTATAGGCATCAACTCAAAATTGTTAATATTCATTTGAAGAAAGCAACAAAGTTGCATATGGAAATAATAATTTTGCACTCATTGCAGTAAAACACTGCGAGATGAATTGATATCTCACAATGATTTTAGAAAATTTTGATCAGCTGAGTCTATTGGAACGCCATACATCCAATGATGTACATACAGTGAAACCTGTCTTATCTGACATTGACTGGGAGATAATTTAAATTTTGTGTCAGAATAGACAGGGTGCCAAATTGTACAGTGTAAAAATATAGGAAAATAGATTAAATCCTCTTAAAATGAATTAAATTTAATGTAATTTCACAGGATCTTATTATATATTGCCATTTTCTTAACAGTTTTACTTTTATCCTGACATTCATAATATTTTCAAGCAAAACTGGACTTTGTCAATCAGTTATAATTCATTGGGAAGCGGGATCATTTATTGTTTTGTTCAAATAACTTTGCCACTTTACAGTTTAAATATATAGGTAATCAAAGATTACGAAGTCATCTCGACAAATGTTAAGTTTCAATGCAAATCTTATATCATATTTTCTTAACAGTTGGTTTTTATTCATGACAATTTATTCAAGGGCTCTGTTTAATTAGGCTTAAAATTATTGGGGATAATCTGTTCCAAAAACTTTCACTTTCATCTGGTAAATGTGGGTCACATCCAGCATCCGAAGTAAGTTTCAATTGTCCATCCTTAGATGCATCATCCAAGCAAGTTTGGTCCAGGTAGGGCTTATAGTTACTTGGGAATGGACCTGCTCTAAAAAAATTTAACCTGGTCACTCATCTGGAAAATTTAGGACACATCCAGCATCTGAAGCAAGTCTGGTAGTGTCCATCTCTAGATGCATCATCCATGCAAGTTTGGTCTGGGTAGGGCTTATAGTTACTTGGGAATGGACCTGCTCCAAAAACTTTAACCTGGTCACTCATCTGGAAATTGTAGGTCACATCCAGCATCCGAAGCAAGTCTGGTAGTGTCCATCCCTAGATGTATCATCCATGCAAGTTTGGTCTGGATAAGGCTTATAGTTACTTGGGAATGGACCTGCTCCAAAAACTTTAACCTGGTCACTCATTTGGAAATTGTAGGTCACATCCAGCATCCGAAACAAGTCTGGTACTGTCCATCCCTAGAGGCATTATCCATGCAAGTTTGGTCTGGGTACGGCTTATAGTTACTTGGGAATGGACCTGCTCCAAAAACTTTTACTGGGTCACTCATCTGGAAAATGTAGCTCACATCCAGCATCCGAAGCAAGTCTGGTAGTGTCCATCCCTAGATACATCATCCATGCAAGTTTGGTCTGGGTACGGCTTATAGTTAGTTGGGAATGGATCTGCTCCAAAAAGTTTAACCGGGACACCAACACCAACGCCAACACCGGGCATATAGCATAAGCTCTGTCAAGGTGAGCTAAAAATGGAAAATAGTAAATGGGAAAGAAATTTAACTTTGGAATTCACATTGCACATGTGTCAGTCGGATTAGACAGTTAACACCAAAACTTCTCCTCTGCTTTTTAAGGGCTTGGAACCTTCTGCTTGAAATAAAATGTAAATGTTATTTCAAACAGGCAGCATTAAAAGTTTTGTGCCTTTTTTCTTTGCAACTTTTTTTCTCTTTTTCTTTTTTTTTGGCTTTTTTTTTTTTGTGTTGTTTTTATTTTTTTTTTTTTTTTTTTTTTTTTTTTTTTTTTTTTTTTTTTTTTTTTTTTTTGTTTTTGTTTTTTTTTTTTTTTTTTTTTTTTTTTTTTTGTTTTTTTTTTTTTTGTTTTGTTTTTTTTTTTTGTTTTTTGGGCACAAAACTTGCCAATGAGATTAAATAATTTCACATTTACAATTCACAATTTCACATCAACAATTCACAACTTCACTTTAACAATTCACAATTGCATTAAAAAATCATGATATTTTAACATTTCAAATTATGATTTAATTAACATGAACAAAATCACAATTTAACATTGACCAATTACAATTAATATTTTTAGAGGCAAATCAATATCTTGCATTTTCAAATGCAATTAATAATTTTACATCCATTTCTTTCACTGCATATTTAGTCACATCAGTATATAATGCATTCAATTTTACAATAAGCTAATAACCAAGAGGCAACTACACAAATTATTATTGCAACAATAGCTGAAAAAAATTACACATTCTAGGAATACTTATGTCATATTTAACAATCATTACATCTGGAACATATTCAACTTCATCTAAACAATTACAATAATGAACTATCATCTCATTGGCATAATAACAAGGAAAGAGAAAAGCGGGGGTCAGTGTGGGAGGAAGACGGAGTACCCGTAGAGAACCCACGTGTCCGAATGGGCGACCCCATACCCTAACATAATTCGGACACCCTTTACAAAAATATTTTAAAAATAGTCTTTGAAAAAAAACTGTTACTAGAATGCATAATGTCATCAGTGCTTTGAAGATTTGGATTGATCCTGCATTAATTAAGTCCTGCTTCTTCATCCACATATGTTACTTCTAAAAATTTCTTTATTTTCTGTAAATAAACAAGGCAAGATGTAATTGTAAGGTTTGAATTAAAAAAAACTAACAAGAGACCTATATGCTACATTGCTTACCTGAGCACTAAGGCTAGGAAAAAGCAGAAATCAGTTCAGTATTGAAAAACTTAAACTTGAATCCACATCACTACCTATCATTTGAACACAATTTTACTTGAATCTTCACTATCTGAAGATGCTTCTGAATTAATATGACTTATCATAGCCTTTGCTGATATTGAGAAGAAAACTTTATTTTATATTTCTTTGTATAACTTTGATCCCCAGTTGTGGCCTCTCTTTACTCTTGAATAAAGGTCGTTTTCCATACCTGAATGATTCTCATCCTTGATATGGTCAAGAAAATCCACAATGACATGAATCCAGTTTCATTCCCTCTTTAGTCTGTTCTCCAAATCTTAAACCTTAAGATAAAAGGAATACCGTACTATAAGTGGAAATTTTAGCGAAACGCAAATTTAGCAATTTCTACCTAAAATCTGGTATTTTATTTTTAGCGAGAAGAAATTTTAGCGATTTTAAAATGCTAACTTAAAAAGCTTATTTACAAATGAAACGCAAATAATTTTTTGCGATAATCAATTTTAGCGATGTTAGCACCCTCGCTAATAATGCCAAAATTACATCCTTGCTAAAAATTCTACTTATACGGTATACTCAGAAGTATATACAAACATTAATTTTAATAACATGATTTTATAAAGAGATTTTGAGAAAATGAAAGACTATTATAAGTAATAACACAAAACTGGTTGTTTCTATATCACATAGTAGCAAACTAGAAATATGGCTATAGGACATGAATGCCCCGCCAAGGGTATATTAGTAATGCAACATGAAAATTTGTATGAAATTTGATCTGAATATCTTGAAAAGTGATGCAGTTGAATTGCTTACATCAGTATGTATCAGCATATGAAGTTTGACACTAATTTCTGAAAAGTGAGGTCAAAGGTCAAATGAAAGGTCAAGGTCAAAAATGTTGCTGCAGTTGAATTGCTTACATCAGTGTGACTAGCGTACGTATCACCATATGAAGTTTGACACAAATTTAGGGAAAGTGAGGTCAAAACATGTTGATACAGTTGAAAAGCTCTCATCAGTATGACGTATCAGGTTAAAAAGTTATTAAAAAAAATATATGGTTTCTTTGAAACTGATATAAAAACCATTTAATAAAAGTGAGGTCAAGGTCAAATGAAAAGGTCGAGGTCAAAATATGTTGATGCAGTTGAATAGCTCTCATCAATATCTATCAGCATACAAAGTTTGAAAGTTTGATGAAAATACCTTAAATAGTATCTTTGAAATTGAGCTTTGAACTGAGCTTAACACAAAGTGTGACAGAAGGACAGACGGAAGGACGGACATGACAGACATGACAAACACTATATGCCCTGGCCATATTCATGGCAGGGCATAAAAAATACTAACACAATTAAAATATCTTTGTTTGCTTGTCTGTTTCTTGTTTAAAGTCCCTTAGTATTGAGAATTCTTCACTCATATGATGCTCTAAAATACCACTGTGACATGCAGGCAACAACACAAAATATGAAATTTGATAAGAATTTCACAACATAAATATATTATATCAGATGTATCATTCTGGGGTTTTGTATACCACTTCCAGAGGTAAACAAGCAGTAGAAGGTCAAACATATTAATTAATATGCACAGATGAGGTCTCAGTGGGGACTTCTGCAGTATTATGTGTGCATCTGGTCACATACTGCATCAGTATAATTAGCATGATAACACAAACTCTGTTTATAGAATGTAATGCAGACAGGCTTTAGGAGGACCCAATGAATACAACATATTTTAGAAAATTTTGAGTCAAAAATCAGAAGAAGATGGGAGAAAATACATATTTACCAATGTTTGTTTATAAAAATCTACACTTTAACTTCGTTTGAACAAGTGTTTGAGAAAATGTATCAGCAGTGGTTTGGAGTATATATTATACAACATATAAATTTCTAGGCAAAATTCTAATATTGGTGTGAATTAAGAGACAACATACTTGGTTGAACACCATTACAAAAGCCAGCTATATTGCTGACTACCAAAAAAATGTGCCCTGGACTAAATATTTGGTCTACTAGTTAACTAAAAATTTGACCTATTTAATTCATTGTATTTATACAATAAGATGATTTTAGAATATGATAATGTCATACCTGATCAGTATGAGCTATCCACTGTGGTATGTCTTGGTGGATAAGTCAACCTCCATTAGCAAGTCTCCTCCAGTTGTATAATCCACCAAGTCTTGTCGGGTGCATCTGCTGTTTCCACATCTTGAAGACCATACAGTGTCCATCAGGCTTGTCTGTTTTAGTTGTTTCCACTAATATCTTTTGGGTGTAGTTGGTGTTTTCACATATTTGAAAAATCATTGTCAATAAAGTTTGCCTCAATATTCATTGGCCTTGCCTCCTCAAGCTTGTCTATTCTAGCGGTTTCCCCATGGTTCTGTTTGCTGCAGCTGCAGTAAGAGTCAAAAGAAGAACAATTGAGAAAATATATCATTGAAGTTTGTTTAGGAAAATCCTCATTTAACTTTTTTAAATGAGTGTTCATGTTGTTTCAACAGTGGTTTAACATATGCTTTATATTATTAAGCAAAAATTCAATATTGGTGTAAAGAGTTGGTTTATCTGGTTGAACACCATAACAAAAGTCAGCTTTTACTGACTATAAGAAATAAGACAAGCTAAAATTTTACTCAGCTAGTTAACTTGACTTTGTTAATAAAATGATCTTGAATTATGATAATGTTACATACCTGATAAATGTCAGATCAGCATCCTTTGGCTATTCATCCTCAAGTTGTTTCTATCATGTCCTTTTGGGTGCATCTACTGTTTTCACCATGTACTCTTGGATGCATTTGCTGTTTCCACATCTTGGAAGATCAGCATGTACTGGCTATGCATCATCCAGTTGTTTCTATCAGTGTCCAGTTGGGTGCATCTGCTGTTACACATGTCTTGTTGAGAACATCTGCTGTTTTCACATCTTGGAAGATTAGCATTCATTGGCTCTGCCTCCTCCAGCTGTTTCCACCATGCCATGTCCTTGTTTACTATCACAAGCTTTCTTATTGTCTCTGACCAGTATAGCTAAAAATAAGCCAAGCTTAAAATAAAAAGTCAGCTAGTTAATTTGACATGGTCAATTACATGATCTTGAATCACTATTATGTCATTTACATGTACCTGATCAGTGTCAGTTATCTCCTTTGATATGTCTTGTTGGGAAGGTCAATATCATCAGACAAGTCTCCTCCAGTTGTATCCACCATGTCCTGTTGGGTCCATCTTCTGTATCCACCAAGTCCAGTTGGCGCATCTGCTGTATCCACCAAGTCCAGTTGGGTGCATCTGCTGTTTCTGCCATGTCCAGTTGGGTGCATCTGCTGTTTCCACCAAGTCCAGTGGAGTGCATCTGCTGTTTCCACCATGTCCAGTTGGGTGCATCTGCTGTTTCCACCATGTCCTGTTGGGTGCATCTGCTGTTTCCACCAAGTCCAGTGGAGTGCATCTGCTGTTTCCACCAAGTCCTGTTGGGTGCATCTGCTGTTTCCACCAAGTCCAGTAGGGTGCATCTGCTGTTTCCACCAAGTGTAGTGGAGTGCATCTGCAGTTTCAACCAAGGCCAGTTGGGTGCATCTGCTGAAAATATTAAGAGCTTTATTTCACTGCATGTATTTTACACTAAAATAACCTAGTCAGTCCATTTCAACTAAGATTCCATTTCCTTAATTTCTCAGATTCATAACTTTTATTCTGCTCTTTAATTTTTGGTCTTTAATATGTTTAAAATGATCGCATGAAAAAGATGACAGCTTAATAATAAAGTTTTATAGAATGTTTCATTGGGAAAAAGATAAATGACCACCTAATAAAGATCTCTGCTCTATAAAGTTGATTACTATGAAGTTTGGCTGTATATATTATTGATTTGAAATGGAACATTATAAATCTATAATCTAACAATAATACTTCATTTCATTTTTCTATATACAGCAAAACTTGTTTAGTACGAACAAGGATATTGCCAATTCACGGTTATAGCGAAATTATCTTGGATCTCAGGGCTTAATAAATTTAACGAATTCCTTATAGGGATATAACGAATTATGGATATAGTGAAGTAATTTTATAGGTCCCCGTGACTTCGTTTTAACCAAGTTTTACTGTATTTTTCAATTATTATCAATTCAATATTTTCTATCTTACCTTATCGATGATGGTTTAGAATTTGGCTTATTTCTCTTCTTCTTTAGTGAATTGTCCAACTATAAAATACTAACAAAATTTTAAAATAGAGCTGAAATAATAGATACTGAGTAAAACTGGTTTGGTACAAACACAGATATTGTGAATTCACAGATAATAGTGAAATTATCTTCAATCTCTAGCTATATAAATTTTACTAAAATTTTATACACTTGAGGATATAACAAATTATGGATATAGAGAAGTAATTTCAGAGGTCCCAGTGACTTCCTTATAACCGTGTTATACTGTAATAAGGCCCTCACTAAGACAGATGTTTTGGGTGAAACACACTGTTTCCTCCTTATCCAACATGTCTAATGTTGATGCTAATGCACAATGCAACAATGAACATTAGACATATTCTTAGGAATAATAAATGCAATAACAAATAAAAATCACAACAATAATAATTAACAAAAATTCATAACTATCATAACAATAAATTGAAAATCTCAACTAAAGCAAATAACTAAAACACATAACTATAACAAATAACTTAACTCATAACAACTAATTAAAGCTCATAACAATAACAACTAACTAACACTCATAACAATAACAAATAATAAAAAATCACAAACAACAGCAAATAACTTAAGCTCCTAACAAGTAAAACTCATGACTGCCTCAATAACAAATAACTGAAACTCATAACAATGTCAACTAATAAAAACATTAAAAACATAATGTAACAATTAACAAATAAAACATGAAAATTAACAACTTTTACAACCCTCACAAACAAAAAACTATAATAACAACTCAATAAACAAATAACAATTATAATAAAAACCTAATGAACAATTAACAACAAATACTAACAAAGGAAACAAAACATAAACAAAAAAGTAAGAGCTAAAATAACAAAGAGACCTAACATCAAAGAAATACAAAAAAACCTCCACTCCAGCGTTGTTGGCATGCTGTTCCAATCCAATATGCCCAGCCTCCTCCAACGATGAAGAGCCAGCAGCCTCCATGTGCACCATCTCCAACGATGACATCCCGGCAAAGAGAGAGAACAGAGAAGATTAGACAAAGAAAAAACAACAGAACAAAAAAACAAAAGGAAAGAACTACTACTACAAAAAATGTGTTGAGAGTGGGGGAGGGGAGGGAAATGTTAGTACTAATTAGTAAGAGTGCAAAAATGATAATGAAACCAACTCACCTCTGCTTTTACTTAACAACTAAGCAATACCTCCGTTCCAGCGTTGTTGGCATGCTGTTCCAATCCAATATGCCCAGCCTCCTCCAACGATGAAGAGCCAGCAGCGTCCATGTGCACCATTTCCAACGATGACATCCCGGCAAAGAGAGAACAGAGAAGATTAGACAAAGAAAAAACAACAGAACAAAAAAACAAAAGGAAAGAACTACTACTACAAAAAATGTGTTGAGAGGGGAAGGGGAGGGAAATGTTAGTACTAATTAGTAAGAATGCAAAAATGATAATGAAACCAACTCACCTCTGCTTTTCCTTAACAACTAAGCAATACCTCCGTTCCAGCGTTGTTGGCATGCTGTTCCAATCCAATATGCCCAGCCTCCTCCAACGATGAAGAGCCAGCAGCGTCCATGTGCACCATCTCCAACGATGACATCCCGGCAAAGAGAGAACAGAGAAGATTAGACAAAGAAAAAACAACAGAACAAAAAAACAAAAGGAAAGAACTACTACTACAAAAAATGTGTTGAGAGTGGGGGAGGTGAAGGAAATGTTAGTACTAATTAGTAAGAGTGCAAAAATGATAATGAAACCAACTCACCTCTGCTTTTCCTTAACAACTAAGCAATACCTCCGTTCCAGCGTTGTTGGCATGCTGTTCCAATCCAATATGCCCAGCCTCCTCCAACGATGAAGAGCCAGCAGCCTCCATGTGCACCATCTCCAACGATGACATCCCGGCAAAGAGAGAACAGAGAAGATTAGACAAAGAAAAAACAACAGAACAAAAAAACAAAAGGAAAAAACTACTACAAAAAATGTGTTGAGAGTGGGGGAGGGGAGGGAAATGTTAGTACTAATTAGTAAGAGTGCAAAAATGATAATGAAACCAACTCACCTCTGCTTTTCCTTAACAACTAAGCAATACCTCTGTTCCAGCGTTGTTGGCATGCTGTTCCAATCCAATATGCCCAGCCTCCTCCAACGATGAAGAGCCAGCAGCCTCCATGTGCACCATCTCCAACGATGACATCCCGGCAAAGAGAGAACAGAGAAGATTAGACAAAGAAAAAACAACAGAACAAAAAAACAAAAGGAAAGAACTACTACAAAAAATGTGTTGAGAGTGGGGGAGGGGAGGGGAGGGAAATGTTAGTACTAATTAGTAAGAGTGCAAAAATGATAATGAAACCAACTCACCTCTGCTTTTCCTTAACAACTAAGCAATACCTCCGTTCCAGCGTTGTTGGCATGCTGTTCCAATCCAATATGCCCAGCCTCCTCCAACGATGAAGTGCCAGCAGCCTCCATGTGCACAATCTCCAACGATGACATCCCGGCAAAGAGAGAACAGAGAAGATTAGACAAAGAAAAAACAACAGAACAAAAAACAAAAAGAAAAAACTACTACAAAAAATGTGTTGAGAGTGGGGGAGGGGAGGGAAATGTTAGTACTAATTAGTAAGAGTGCAAAAATGATAATGAAACCAACTCACCTCTGCTTTTCCTTAACAACTAAGCAATACCTCTGTTCCAGCGTTGTTGGCATGCTGTTCCAATCCAATATGCCCAGCCTCCTCCAACGATGAAGAGCCAGCAGCCTCCATGTGCACCATCTCCAACGATGACATCCCGGCAAAGAGAGAACAGAGAAGATTAGACAAAGAAAAAACAACAGAACAAAAAACAAAAGGAAAGAACTACTACAAAAAATGTGTTGAGAGTGGGGGAGGGGAGGGAAATGTTAGTACTAATTAGTAAGAGTGCAAAAATGATAATGAAACCAACTCACCTCTGCTTTTCCTTAACAACTAAGCAATACCTCCATTCCAGCGTTGTTGGCATGCTGTTCCAATCCAATATGCCCAGCCTCTTCCAAGTCCTCCAATGATGAAGAGCCAGCAGCCTCCAAGTGCAACATCTCTAATGATGACATCCCGGCAAAGAGAGAACAGAGAAGATTAGACAAAGAAAAAACAACAGAACAAAAAACAAATTGAAAAAACTATTACAAAAAAATGTGTTGAGAGTGGGGGAGGGGAGGGAAATGTTAGTACTAATTAGTAAGAGTGCCAAAATGATAATGAAACCAACTCACCTCTGCTTTTCCTTAAAGACTTACAAATACCTCCACTCCAGCGTTGTTGCCATGCTGTTCCAATCCAAGATGCCCAGTCTCCTCTAAGTTCTCCAACAATCAAGAGCATCCTTATTCCACCACCTCCAACGATGAAGTACCAGCCACTGTTAAGTCCTTATAACACCATTTCCATCAATGAAGTCCTGGGAAATTGAGAAGAAGGACTAAGATGAAAAAAGGCAAACAAACATATGTACAAAAGAAAACACTATGTTAAGAATTTGGAAGGAGTTTAAAACATAGGTAATCAGAGATTTCAAAGCTCACCTCAACAAGTGTTGTGTTTATGTAAGGCAAAGTCCCACAATTAAATAACATCCCAAAGTTTATATAAGTTTACATCCCAAAATGCAAAATTTATGCAATTTTGATCTAGCTGATAGGGCTTGCAATTAAAGCAATATGAGCTGTACCTTCGAAAATTTTATTTTGCTGGTAAAATGTGCTATTATGATTAGATATATATATCAGGTTTTTTCCGCGTCATGTTTTTTTCCGCGAATCAGAACCTAACTCAGTATATTAAATTTACGCGAATCAAATTTTCACTATTTCAAAGTCCCAGTGATTATATTATTAACAATTGTTTGAGCCTATGAAGGAATAGGATGCAAAATGTAAAAGTCATTAAGCTTGAGTTACTTCATACGGGTGAGAAATAGACCGATCGACCTTCACCTTGTCAATTTCGGAAGACCCGCTCAGCGAATCACACACCTGTGTTGCGTACTAACTCTCAAATCCACAGATATTATTTTTTATGATTTAAACAATCATAGGTCATTTACTGTTCCAAACTGACTAGCAGCTCATATATAATTAGTTTAATGGCTTCTCGCAAGGAACGTGACCCATATAATTAGCTAGCTTGTCAATTAGTAAACAAACAATAAGGGCTTATACCTATTACCGGTATATTGCGCTTGTCCTCTGATCCCGCTATTTCTACCCTCTACGATATAAGCATTAAGAAATATTTCTACTACAAAAAGAAAATTTTGTATTAAATTTACGCTGTTTTATTTTCCGCGATTCAGAACTCGTCGCAAACAAAGCGGAAATTGGATACATGCGGAAAAATCATGATATACGGTAATTTGTATGTAATTTAAACCCTTATGACCAATAAGCCCAAAATAAAGTTTAAAAATGTTTCAGAAGAAATATTTCTGTACAACCGAACATACAGTTTTATATAAGAAATCATTATTGTACAGGACGACAATAATTCAATTTTGCTTTAATCAAAGCTAATACAAAATTTTCCATCGCGAATATGAATAACAGAAGTTTATAAATGATTTATTTTTCTGTCATTAAATTAGTTAATCACAAATTTGCAATAAAATTTTCCAATGTCAAACATGCAGCTCATATTGCTTTAACTGGTTGCCCATCAAGTAAATTATATGGAAAATACATATGGGGTCCAGCATCAGAAGCAAGTCTATCAGTGTCCATCCTTAGCTAGATGTATCATTCATGCAAGTTTGGTCATCATAGGGCTCATAGTTACTTGGAAATGAGAGTTGCACCAAAAATATAAACCTATTCACTCATCTGGAAAATGTAGGTCAGATCCAGCATCCGTAGCAAGTCTGGTTGTATGTATCCTTAGATGTATCATCCATGCAAGTTTGCATGGTCATCACAGGACTCATAGTTACTTGGTATAGAGAACTGCACCAAAAACATATACCTGTTCACTCATATGGAAAATGTAGGTCAGATTCAGCATCCGTAGCAAGTCTGGTTGT